TTGTAGACGTTATCTGTTTCATATTCTCACCGTTTCATCTTCTTATTAATTTATGTAAAATTTGAATGACAGTTTTGTTTGTTTGTTTGGTATTTTATTTATTTATTTATTTATTTATTTTTAAAATATTACACCGGGAAGTGATAATCTATCTTAAAATTCAATATAAGGAGATATAAAGTTTTGATTAGATTTTTTGAACTTTTAATCACTATGTTAAGTCTTTGTTAAGCTGTTATGATTTATATAAAACATAACGGTTACATCGGTGTCCTGTTTTATTTATTAAAATATATAATTCGCCTGTTATTATATGTAATTCGACTTAACCTCTTTGTCGCCTTTTTTTTTTCATTTTATTTTAAATAAAAATTGATTTTATATACGGAAAGTGGGACACAAAAGATTTAGTCATAATCATGTATAAGTCACTTATGTCAACAGGCACCAAAAAGGAAGTAAAACAGAAAGTAACCGTGTGATCACATACAAACATAAAGTAAGTAAAAACAAGAGGTAACCATGCAACAAAATACAAGCATGAAGGAAGTAAAAACAGGAGGTAACCATGTGATCACATACAATCATGAAGGAAGTAAAAACAGGAGGTAACCATGCAACAATATACAAGCATGAAGGAAATTAAACAGAAGGTAACCGTGTGATCACATACAAACATAAAGGAAGTAAAACAGGAGGTAACCATCAATCACATACCAACATGAAGGAAGTAAAAGCAGGAGGTAACCATGCAACAATATACAAGTATGAAGGAAGTAAAAACAGGAGGTAACCGTGTGATCACATACAAACATGAAGGAAGTAAAAACAGGAGGTAACCATGCAACAATATACAAGTATGAAGGAAGTGAAAACATGAGGTAACCATGCAACAATATACAAGCATGAAGGAAGTAAGAACAGGAGTAACCATGCAACAATATACAAGCTTGAAGGAAGTAAAACAGGTGGTAACCATGCAACAATATACAAACATGAAGGAAGTAAGAACAAGGAGTGACCGTGCGACCACAGACACACATCATGTTCAGGGAAGGTCTCGGCCCGGTGAATTTTCGTATTTTATGTTCTATAGTAAATCAGTCATATTTGAGGCTTACTTCTGGATTCCACTGTTCTTGATGAATTATATACTGTCTTCGACTTTAAACATCAACACTATCTATGTCAAATGAAACCCAAAATATAATAGGCTAGCCATCCACCTTTTTTCAGAACACTTCATTCTTGTTGTAACAGAGATGACACGATTTGTTTCCGGTCTCAACCCGGTTCGGAATTAGAAGTTTTATATTTTATTTTAAAGCTATGATTGTTACGTGGACATTTTCATAAACAAACATCTGTGGTTACGTTGAATATTTTTATAATAAAATTATGATAGTGACATGAATATTTTCATAATAAAATATAATGAAATAATAATAGTTACGTAAATGTTTTCATTATAAAACTTTGATAGTTACGATTTCATTTTCATAATGAAACTATAGGAAGAAGTTTTAAGTATTTTATTTTAAAGCTATGATTGTTAGGTGAATATTTTCATTAACAAACATCAGTAGTTACGTTGAATATTCTTATAATATTAAGAGGATATTTTTTCGTTTGAGTGAAATATGGAATATATTTTCACTCAACATGATAAAATGCCACATATTTTCACGAGCCGGAACGGCGAGTGAATATTTGTGGCATTTTATCATGTTGAGTGAAAATATATACCATATTTCACGAAAAACGAAAAAATAACCTTTTTATTTAATTTCATTATCAAAGCAAAATGGTTTTACGCAACTGCAATTGTACAGCGCGCAGTAATATAATTATTGTCTTGTTTTGCACGCGATATTTGGCACTACATTGTGACGTCACGTAAACAACTCGTACAGCGTTAATGACTGAATTAAAAATATTGTTGTTCGGATTAATTTTCTTAGTTAGACCATTTTCTATCGTTCTAGATAGTTTTCAAAACAAAATTCAACAAAAATATTTATTCATATTTATATTTCATATTTATTTTTAAAAAATATGAAATATATTTGACTGATATAGCACCATATTTCATGGGCAAAATTAAATAAATATAGATCTATATAATAAAATTATGATAATGACATGAATATTTTTATAATAAAATATAAAAAATTATGACAGTTACGTGAACATTTTGATTATAAAACTATACACGTAAGTAACGTGAATATGCTCATTATAAAACTAAAATAGTACATTTGTTTATGAATATGTCCATAATAAAACTATAATAGTTACATGAATATTTTCATTATAATTTATATATATATACATGTATAATACTCCATCAAAGACAACGGGTGTGTTTGCCCTCAGTGCTTAGTGAGTAACATTTTACTTTGCCGCACATATTAATATTCAAGTCAGACACTGAAATTTAATTATTTTCCTATCCTAACATTTTTTTGTTAAAAAAGCAGCTAACAGCATATACTTATTTAGTAACAGTGCTTTATAAGCGACTTTTAATATATAGTAACGGTTAAAATATGTATTTGAAGTGTGACCATAGCACAATCTGGGACCGTATTCATAAAGCTCCTAATATAAAAAAAAATAAGATTTGCCTTAATTCCAAAATATTTTCATTAGTTTTTAAGGATTTTCTGTTAACAAAACTACTTACCGTTTTTTTTCCTTTTAAAGTTATGAATCGTTAATCAAATACTAGTAGTAATTATATTTATAAAGCTTTTCTCATGTAATGAAATACCTCTATAATTTTGACATAAAGATCATTTGTCATTTATTGTTAAAATATTTAAGAATGTAATTTTATCGATTTGTATGAAATAAACGTTTCTTCCTGTTCAAAGATTAAGTACGGTAGCTTATCAGGGCCTACAGTTGATGAGAAGATGTTTTTGGAAATCTCAATAAAATGTACTGACAACGATGAGAAGTTTTTAGGCATTGCTTTTTTCATTATGCTTGAAGCTTTTGTCTCTTCGACAAAATCCTGTCGAAACATTCGTGATTGAAATATTTAGTAAGACGCAAACACGTTACTCGCATTGATAATCCAACAAAAGTTTTTTTGGAATGTTTTACGCATTTCATGTTTATCATAAAGTCTTCATGGAATGTTTTGTTACGGAAGCTTCAAAGGGTCACCTCTTACGCGATCTTTTATGAGAAGGTTTACGCAAGTCGAAAGAATTAAGGTGCAAAGTCATGATATCTTTAGTGTTTTCGCAAAAAATAATTCGAATAAACGAGAAGATTTGAGTTAATTGGCCAAATGTTTTCTTGCAAAAACAGAAACATTACACATAACGATTAATATTTTGACGACAAATTAATAAAAGGTGTTTTTCGAAAAAAATGTAGAGGCAATACATGATGCATTTCACTTTTTCGAAAAAGATTTTGACGCAATACCTAATTCATTTCACCTTCTCGCATTAACTTTTGATGCATTACCATAATAAATTTCATTTGATGAAAAAAATGTTTGCGCAATGCCTAAAGTGTATTCCGCTTTTCGTTATAAATTTTGTCGAGATCGTCTTCCGTTTTGCAAACGATGGCTTATTATTTCGTTAAATAAGTTTTAATAAAATTGTGATATTCAAGACTACAGCAGGCAGTGTATTTGTCGAAGTCATGGAGAAAGTTCTAACAGTATTGGTATGTAAAATTATGAAACAAGTTGACATGACATGAAACTTTTAGACAAGTGGAGGCCCTGATAAGCTTCCGTAATTAAGCAGCTGAAATAATTTTTAAGGCAATGAATTGAATTTAGAAGATATTTTAATTTCTTTTCTCGCTCTAGCAGTTATTTTATTGGATGAAATCTGACCAATCATTTTTCATAAGGATTTATTATTGTATTCCAATTCAAAAAAAATAGAATAGAATGGAAAACTTTCAAAACAAATCAGGAAGTACAAGGTGCAAAAGAAAACTTAGCAAAATTGTGTTAAAGAAATTAAAGGTATCCTCTTTAATATTTCATTTCAGAATCTAGTAATTCCTCTACATACATAATCACAGTGCCTATTCACGTGATTTGCACTATTTTTATGGCATGAAGTATTGAGCTCGTTCATTATTGTAAGTTATCAATAAACAGAATGATTTTGAGGACAAATCAGAACTTTTTCTTGTGATGTGAAACCACGTGTTTGAACAATCAGAATGAATACACACGGTTTCACTTTACGAAAAAACAACTTGTTTTCGTTTGAGAGATGTTGTTTCGAAAGTGATCACTGTTTTGGCGCCGTCCCTTATCAAAAAGATAATACATCAGGGGGTGTCTTCGGCTTATGGGTTTGAAGGAGGGCGGCAGCGCACCTCATCGCGACTTGTGAGAGACAAAAATAATGGCTACAGGTCGATCGTAAGGTAACGCTGAAAAGCTTTTGATTCTATCTCAATCCATTAAGAAGTTGCAGCACTTTGAAATCAGTTTTGATGGAAATAATCAACGCAAAATAGTGATTTTTGTCAATTTTGAAGCATTTTTTAAAAAGTTTCATAGCAATTTGAACTTGTAACAGGAGGCTTTTCAATAAAAACAGCCATCATTCACGCTCATGCTTTAAAGAGTTAAAGAGGATTATTTATTTTCATGTTTTCTTCTATGACCATTATAAACAGATTATCAGCCAAAAAAATTGTTGAATTCTATTTACATTTTAATAATTAATTGCTGTTTATAAAGTTCACTAAATATGTCTCAGCCGCCATGAGTCTCATTGTTTCCGTTTGGTGCGTAGAAGTTTGAATAGCTTCAATAAAACAACAACAACAACATAGCATGATTGCATAGTAGTTTATACAAATGTAATAATTTTGTCATGTACGCCGACTCATAACTGATAAAACGCTGCTACGGGAAGACCACCAATTTTTCGGCAAAACTGAAATTTTATTCTTAGATAAGCTACCTTTAATCACATACCTCCCAAATCTCCATAAAAAGGAGATTGCTTTTATTATTTTAAGACATATGGATCTTATACTGAAAGGAAACATGTTCGTGTTAGTTAGTTTGTTCTCGTTGATTTGCGTCTTAAATGCCCAAGATGCGACAACCTGTAGCAAATTTGATTGTGAATATAATGTACTGCTTAAATTGATACAACTTGAAACTACAGTAGCTGACTTAACTGGAAAACTTATGGGTGAGAATTGATTTATTTTGCACAATTTAATGTTAAAATCATAGTTTACATGTAACATAAAAACAATTTTTCGTTTGATAGTATATTTTAGTTTTTTTAAGTTACTAAATGTTATTATCATTATTAAATCGGTGTTTTTTCTTTCTTTGTTTTTTTGTTAATTTTTTTACAAAAAAAAATCAGAAATAATAACTAATTTAACATTTTAAATTATCTTTTTTCTAAATTAAAAAATAATGGTTTTGAATAATTTAAGGTTATTTTCTGACTTCTTTGTATTACAACAAAATATTATATTTTATCATTTAAGTGTTCGTATTATATTCCACTTAGAACTTTATCAATATTTGTTAAGCAATATTTCATAAGAATACCCCTAAAATGATTAATACTTATTGTTTTTATCAATTTTTGAAAAACGTCTGGTAAATGTGCCTACTGTAGACCAATCTACTTAAAAGCAAAAATATAATAATGGCGATAGCGTTAAATTAATTGAGGCTGCAATTATCAATTTTAAAATCATAATGTAAAAACTATTGCAATATTAAAGGTTATCGAAAAATTATTGTTTAAAATTATTTTGATCGATACATAATTCTATTTTTTTTTATTTTAGATGCTCAAAGTACTATAACAGAATTGAATAAAACAATTTCAACAAACGAGAAATCCACTGACGGTACAACTTACATTCGCTGGGGTCGTACCACTTGTCCAGATAAAGCCTTTCTTGTGTACAAAGGCTATGTCGCCGGATCACATTATACCCACAGCGGAACTGGTTCAAACCCCTTATGTCTACCAGAAAACCCGGATTACGACAAGACTAAAGCTGGTTTTCAAACTGCAGGTAGGATATATGGAGCTGAATATGAAACAAACTCGTATCCAAACTGGAAATACCTTCACAACCATGAAATCCCATGTGCAGTTTGCCGAATACCACGTAACAACGTTCTTATGGTGCCAGGAAAAGACCGTTGTCATGACGACTATATCTTAGAATATAAAGGCTATCTTATGGCTGAACACTTTAGTCATTCTGCATCTGAATTTGTTTGTGTTGATGGGAATCCTGAAACTATAGAGGGAACTTATCAGGATATGAACGGGAGACTGTTTTATTTTGTCGAAGGGGAATGTGGTTCACTACGATGTGATCCATACAAAAATGGATTGGAGCTGACATGCGCTGTGTGCTCGTTTTCACCTAATGCAAAGTCGACAAACCTTCAACCATACGTCTAGTCGGCTAAACATGCAGATTATTTTCTCTTTCGAGTAAAGAATATTTAAGTAAAATATCTGAAACATTTAAATAAAACTTGAATAAATCACATATTGTAGTAGTTGAATAAAAACAGCATGATATTTTTCTATATATCAAAAGTATGGTAAATAAAAGGAATTGTGAATAATACGCTAGGGAAAATAAGCACATGAAAATAGGTAAGATATTAATGAGTATTGTGTTGAAACATGAACCAGAACTTCCATTATTTACAGAGATTTTGTTTCTTTTGTTATTCGTGTAAAATTCCTCTTTTATTTCGAAATTGCTTACTAAACATTCAAATAAAAAACGTATTTGAAGAGTTCCCATTCACAGTGAATGAATGTGAAAAAGTGTATGCACTGCTTAAATAAAGAAAGGAATTTATTGCTGACTTGTCTCTCCTTATAAAACTTTCTTAAAAAAGTTTTATTATTGCGAGTTCATACTTAGAGGCATATAATACTTCAGAAATAAACCTTTTCCCCAACCTATGAATTATATTACGTTTAAGTAACGGGTTTAAAGCATAATAGATGTTCAACACGTGAAGACAGTAGCGCAAATGTGTGTGTGTGTGTGTGTTTTTGGTTTTTTTTTGTCATAAAAGAGGCAAAACGTAAACAAAGTACATGTAGTATTTGACTTCCATATAAAATATCAAATCACTATAAATGTACTTATTGCAAAAACCTAACAGGAGCAAAGGATGGCTCAGGTAATTGGCCAAATTGGCGAACGTGAAACTTTTTGGAAACTATAACAGGACCCCATGAATAAAAAGCTTTTGAGAAATGAAAAAGAAATCATTTCTGAGGTAAAGTGGGCCTTTAATCAAATTATAAAAATACATTGTCTGTGACAATCGAACATACACAATGTTTAAAAGGGGGGGGGGGACAGAAGGAGAAAAGCAAAAAAAAATTTTTATGAGAAGAAAACAGTTGGCATGTTTACAAAATAGCAATTTGACTGCCAATACTTACATAACATTACAAAACTTGAGAAAATAATGTTACCTACCACAAGCATCTTTCCCGCAACCAAAAAGTCGATTATTCCTTGTACAATATTCAAATTTTCATCAGTCGAAAAATAAGAGTCACTTCACATATACAAAGTCGAAAATGAAAATTGTTTTGCTATATACATTGTACATGTAACCTTTTAATTATTACATATTATTATATAATCTAACTACATAGCTGCAATCTTATTGGTCTAATTGGTAGTCAACCGTCATATTCACTGGTTGAGTATCATATTTACTGGCTGAATTCGATTTTCGAAATCTAAAAATAAGTTGAGACTCATATTCATTGACCAAATATTGTAGACTATTTATCACGCGTGCGCATTAAATATAAAAGTTACATGAATATTTTCATTATAATCTAACTTATAATAGTCCATCAAAGGCAACGGATGTGTTTACCCTCAGTGGTTAGTGAATATCATTTTATTTTGCCGGACAGATCAAAACAGACACTCAAACTTCATAACTATCTTATCCTAACATTAAAAAAGCAGCATACATCATTATTTCAAATTACTAACAGTGTTTTATAAGCGACTTTTAATATATAGTAACTGTTAAAATATATATTTGAAGTATGATCAATGTACAATCTGGGACCGTATTCATGAAGCTCCTATGGGGAAAAAATAAAAATTTCCTTAATTCCAATAGATATCCATTCGTTTTTTTAGAATTTCCCGTTAACATAACTCCTTCAGATAAAAAACATCCTGGATTTTGACCGATGTTTTACTTGAAAATTAAGGTTCTCTCTATGCAAAAAACTTGTTTCGTGTTTGTTGTTGTTGTTGTTTTTGTTTTTTTTTAGGGGGGTGTAAGTAATTTCATTTCAAGCTTTTCTTACATAATGAAATATCTGTATCATTTTGACAGTAAGATCATTTGTCATTTACTGGTGTATAAGATTTAAGAAAATAAGTATACATTTGTATGAAATGTACTGTACGTTTCTTCCTGTTACAAATGCAACGCTGCGTGTCATAATATTATTTATCAAAATACACAATCTAGAATATATTATAGAAAATATTGTAAATAGGCTTTCGATTTTTTCTTCTTTTTTATTACTTTACGCTACTGAAACACGAAAATTTTAAATGTAAAAAAAATAAAGTAATAAAATGAATTAAGAAATATGTTTAAATTTCTTTTCTCACTCAGAAATAATTTCATTGGATGAAATGTGACCAATCATCTTTCATAAGGATTTATTCACACAAAAATATAATAGAATGGATAACAGGAAGTACAAAGGGCAAATTGTGTTAAAGAAATTAAAGACAGTCTTTCTAATATTTCATTTAATAATCTAATAATTCCACTTCATACTCTTTGAACATAATAATCACAGTGCCTAATCACGTGACTTTTTTGTGATCTGATTGGCGAACAAAACCAATATTACAGACGGTCAAGGATTGTATTATCTACTTTTTTTTCATATTTTTTTAACATTTCACTATTTTATGGCATGAGGTATTTAGCTCCTTCATTATTGTAAGTAATCTATAAATAGAATGTTTTAGGAACAAATTAGAAATTTTCTCGTGATGTGAAACCACGTGTTTGAACGATCAGAGTGAATACACGCGGTTCCATTTTACGAAAAATACAACAAAAAACAAACTGTTTATTTTTTCTATAAAAAGGCTTACTGCGTTACTCATTATAATATATAAAAGCTATACTTTATCCCATAAGAAAAGTAAAATATTTAAAGGTTATGACAGAAAATACTACACAGACCGTCTTGTGACAAAAACCACGTGGTTGTGGCATGTTGCAGAAAGTTTTGGTGATTATGGTGTTAAGTCAATAGACATTTTTTCTATAATTTGTATAAGTATTTGTACATGAGATTTATTCATAATATAAGTTTTACAAAATGTATGTTGTAAATGCTTGATGGTTACAAACACCTCGCAACGGTCATTACTTTCAGTGTTTTTTTTTATTTAAAGTTTATGCTCTATGTACAAAAAAAAAAACAGAGAGAAAAATGAACAAGAATGTTCCGTAAATAACGAAAGTATTGAATGAACGCCATTTTTTGTTGACATGATATACCTATCGTCATGTGAGCTAAAGTGATGGCAGTGTTTAAGCTAGCAAAGCGTGACGTCACCGGTGCTACACTGGTGTCCGTCAGTTTTAGATTTGTGCCCATAGTACTCACGTAAAGAGGATTTTTTTTTTAAGTTTACTTCAACAAATTGTCAGCTAATAAAATATTTTTTGAATTGTATTTACTTTTTAATAATTAATTGCCGCTTACAAAGTTCACTTGATATGTGAGTTTTGTGATTTTTAAGTGACTTCTGTCGCCGTGAGTCGCATTGTTTCAGTTTGGTGCGTAGATGTTTGAACAGCTTCAATGAAGCTAAAATAGACTTCGAAAATGGGTTTTAAAAACAACAAATTCTAGCCAACATAGCATGATTGCAAAGTAGTTGATACAAACGTAATGTTTTAGTCATGTACGTCCACTCATAAATGATTGTCCCCATATTAGACACTATTTTAAATGTTGTAAAACGCTGCTTAAATATCTTGTTGCACTTGTTGCGGAGGGACCACACATTTTTCGTCAAAACTGAAAATTTATTCTTAGATAAGCTACCTTTAAAAATACATTTACATTTAAACATGTATTCCCACATCTCTATAAAAGGAGATTGCTTCTATTATTTAAGACATATGGATCTTACACTTACAGGAAACATGTTCGTGTTGGTTAGTTTGTTCTCGTTGATTTTCGTCTTAAATGCCGAAGATGCTTCAAATTTGCAAAATTTGCAAATTTGTAGCAAATTTGATTGTGAATATAATGTACTGCTTAAATTGATACAACTTGAAACTACTGTAGCTGACTTAACAGGAAAACTTAAGGGTGAGAATTGATTTGATTATTTTTTACATTTTAACGTTTATATATGTAACAAAGGAAAAAACTGTCATCATTAAATCAATGTTTTTTCTTTGTTTTTTGTTGTTGTTTATATTACCACAAAATATCAGAAATGGAAAAAATAAAGAAAAGAAATCAAAAGAATTTAGTGTCATATGTCACATAAAAATGATTACATTGTAACTAATTAGTATTTTAAATTATCATTTTTTTACTTTAAATAAGTATGGTTTTAAATTATTAAATGCAATTTTCTGATTTCATTGTATTACAAAATTTTATTATTTATAATATAAATCTATTATATTCCACTTAGATCTTTATCAATATATTTAAGCAATATTTCATAAGAATATCCCTAATATGATACATTTCTATTGTTTTTATCAATTTTTGAAAAACTTCTGGTAAATGTGCCCATTGTAGACCAATCCACTTTAAAAGCAAAAATATAATAATGGCGATAGCGTTAAATCAATTGAGGCTATAATTATCAATTTTAAAATCATGAGGTAAAAAATATTGCGATATTAAAGGTTATCGTAAAAATAGAAAGTGTTTAAAAATATTTTGACGTATAGATAATTCTAATCTTTATTTTAGATGCTCAAAGTACTGTAACCGAATTGAATAAAACGATTTCAACAAACGAGAAATCCACTGACGGTACAACTTACATTCGCTGGGGTCGTACCACTTGTCCAGATAAAGCCTTTCTTGTGTACAAAGGCTATGTCGCCGGATCACATTATACCCACAGCGGAACTGGTTCAAACCCCTTATGTCTACCAGAAAACCCGGATTATGACAAGACTACAGCTGGTTTTCAAACTGCAGGTAGGATATATGGAGCTGAATATGAAACAAACTCGTATCCAAACTGGAAATACCTTCACAACCATGAAATCCCATGTGCAGTTTGCCGAATACCACGTAACAACGTTCTTATGGTGCCAGGAAAAGACCGTTGTCATGACGACTATATTTTAGAATACAAAGGCTATCTTATGGCGGCACGCTATAGTCATTCTGCATCCGAATTTGTTTGTGTTGATGGGAATCCTGAAACTATAGAGGGAACTTATCAGGATATGAACGGGAGACTGTTTTATTTTGTCGAAGGGGAATGTGGTTCACTACGATGTGATCCATACAAAAATGGATTGGAGCTGACATGCGCTGTGTGCTCGTTTTCACCTAATGCAAAGTCGACAAACCTTCAACCATATGTCTAGACGGCTAAACAGGCAGATAAATTTCTCTTTCGAGTAAAGAGTATTTTAGTAGAATATCCGATACCTTTTTAACAAATCTAAAGCTTTGTATTGAATTAATCACATATTGTAGTATATGTACTTGAATAAAAACGACATAATAATTTCTAATATATATCAAAAGTATGATGAATAAAAGGAATTGTGAATAATACGATAGTGAAAATAAGCACATGAAAATAGGTAGGACTTCAATAAGCAATTGAATAAGAACCTCTAATGATAAATAATCACTTAGAGGTGTATTGTGTTGAAACACGAACCAGAACTTCTACTATTAACAAAGATTTTGTTTATTTTGTTATCCGTGTAAACTTCCTCTTATATTTCGAAATTACTATGAATAAACCCTCAAATAATCAAAGCAAAGAAGGCGCTGAATTTGTTTTGGCAGATGAAGCTTGTGAGATTACACACCAATTTGTTTGTATAGTGTCACCAATACTGTTTCCAGTGTTATAACTATAGTAAATTGGCTATAAGACTAATTGCAACACTGATATTCAATTCAATGTTTATTTGGCGTAAACAATTAATAAATAAAATAAGAAAATAAAAAACCATGAGATTAGTTGCCTTAACTGGGATTTGAACTCCAGACCTCTCGCTTCCAAAGCGAGCTTGTAAATCCCTCGACCACGGAGAAATTATCAGATAACTGCCTGAAGAAAACCATTTTATTTTAAATTAGGGTTTGTAACCCTTATTAATTTCGAGATATTTTGTTCACGGTAAACCTGTTGTTTAACACTGATGGAAATAATCATGGAGCTTAATATAAGTATGTATATCTATAAGAATAACACAATATTGGAAATATTCGACCAATCGGGAACTATTTTTTCTTTACGAAAATTAATGCGCCTGTCATTTGACAATCTTTACGCTGTGATCTCCCCCTTAATTTTTCGGCGTAAGGGTACAAATAAAGGGAAGTAACCGCTTCGAGGAGTATGGACTACTTTCGGTATTTGCAAATAAGCACATCAGGGTCTGAAATTTCGCTACCATTATTTGTTTTGGTCTGACGACCCAAACAAATAAAAACAAACGTATTTGAAGAGTTCCCATTCACAGTGAATGAATGTGAAAAAGTGTATGTACTGCTTAAATAAAGAGAGTAATTTTTCTGACTTGCCTCTCCTTATAAAACTTTCTTAAAAAGTTTGATTATGGCGAATGGTAACTTTTAAGTTCAAATGAACTATTTCCCCTACACGTGAACTTTATAACGTTTAAGTAACGAGTTCAGATCATAATAGATGCTTAACACGTGAAGAAAGTATCGCTGAATGTGATTTTTTGTCATAAAAGAAGCAAAACGTAAACAAGGTACATGTAGTATTTTGACTTTCATACAAAATATCAAATCACTATATATGTACTAATTGCCAAAACCCAACAGGAGCAAAGGAAGACTCAGGTATTTGGCCAAATTGGCGAAAGTGAAACTTTTTGGAAACTATAACAGGACACCATGAATAAAAAGCTTTAGAGAGATGAAAAAGAAATCATTTCTGAGGCATAATGGGCCTTTAATCAAATTATAGAAACACATCGTCTGTGACAATAAGACAAATATAATATCTAAAAAAGAGGGGTGTGGGGTGAGAAAAGCAAATCGAAAACGTAACCAAGATTGATTTCAGATTTCATTTCAATGAGAAGAAAACATTTGGCTTGTTTACAAAATAGCAGTTTGACTGCCAATACTTAAATAACATTACAAAACTTGAGAAAATAATGTCACCTACCACAAGCATCTTTCCCCCTTAAGAGAAGCTACGACCAAAAAGTCGATTATTCCTTGTAAAATATTCAAATTTTCATCAGTCGAAAAATAAGAGTCACTTCACATATACAAAGTCGAAAATGGAAATTATTTTGCTATATACATGTATTAGTTTGAAGAAAATATATGGCAGCTGATTTGAGCTTTGTCGTATTTTCGCTCCATGGGGCGCCAGACGAAAATACGATAAAGTGTGATTATTCATTTTACTAGCCGATTATCATCTTCCGGTCCAACTTTGTCTTGTATTAACCTCTGAATTATTATATATCATTATATAATTTAACTGCAATCTTATTGATCCAAACAGTAGCAACCGTCATATTCACAGGTTGAGTATCATATTTACTGACTGAATTCGATTTTCCCAATCTAAAAATAGATTGAGGCTCATATTCATTTACCAAATATCGTAGGCTGTTAATTACGCGTGCGCCTAAAAAATAATTGTTGCGTTTTGTTGACACGTGTGTTCTTTTTTCTGGGCTTCAATGGTTCGGGCAAAGTTGTATTAAGCTGTAATCTCTATGATTTTTTTTTTTAAATCTTAGTTATTCATATAATACATGTAAAATAATTATTGACTAGTGAACCAATGAATATGGTGTGATATTCACCGGTGACCGAGCCGATGTGTCATCTGCCGGTGGATATGATATCATATTCAATGGCTCACAAGTCAATAATTGTAAAATAAGCATCGTACATATCCCGTAACGCAGGAGTGTTGAATAAACAGAACTTCCGAAAATGTACAGCTTTTTAGGGAAAACGACCAAACAGGTCGATATTCTAAAATCCAATTGAAAGAAATAAAGAAGCTGATTTAACACTCAGGATAAATGTATCTATTAAAGTCTCAGCTCTATTAGAGTCTTAGCTTTTTGTGTCAGTTGTGAAAAAATGACCTGGCTACAGAATTTACGTCGAATTTTGTGTTTTGACGATATTAATCAGTGCAATCAATATAACCCAAAATATTTGCCAAACGACTGTACCTTCAAATAATACTGAAAGAAAGCAGATCAATTTTAGTTATTTTTTATGAGATTACAACGAATATGGCGAATTAAGCAACAATTAATCAGGTTTCTTTACAAAAGGTTAATGAATCACATTTCAATGAGCTTTATCTGCTTTCATTTAGTATTACATGACGCCAGAAGTTGGGCAAATGTTTCAGGTATTCATAAAAACAAAAACAATGAAGTATGCGTCCTTGTACTATTTAACATACGAACCCAAAAAGTTGCTTTCAATTCGGTGGTTGTATTGTCATTTTCACGAATGATCATTAGAAGCGAATATTTTCTTTGTTGTATTAGTTAATAAGGTATGAAGCCGTATACGCTAAATCATTTCATTCAATATAATTTAGCATAAAATGGCTCTCCGTTTAATAACCGTGTTGTACGTTACAATATATTTGGTTTGCACAGTTCTATGTGACTTAATGCACAATTTTTGATATAAAAGTCGATAATTGAAGTATATCGAATCAAAGTCAAACAACTTTTCTGCAATTTTCTTTCCTTATTACATTTTAGTGACAGAATATAAAACAAAATACTTGTTTATTTGATTGTTGTTTTGTCAATTTTGTGTTTAACGATATTAGTAAGTGCAATCAATATAACCCTAGACATTTTCCAAACGTCTATACATTCCAATAATACTGAAAGGAGCCAGATTAATTTTAGTTCTATGTCAATATGTAAAGCATTTTACTAATAATTACTTTCATAAAGTATTGTTGTGTGTAAAATGACACGTGTACATGTAGGTGGTATTAGGCGTCGATATTTTTTACTAATTCATTACATACTCGATCATGTTTTGATATCAACGATTTGCTGAACAGAAACACATAAAAATCGACAGACTAGAATCCAGGCTAGGTGGTATCTAGAAGACTGAATATCATGGGTGAAATTGATAATGAGGGGGGGGGGGTAATGTTATTTTTGTAAATCTGTTACTATGGCAACAATAACTTTAACGAGGATAATGTCGCACTGGTGTCACAGGACCAATACAGTCACTCAGTAAAGATGAGCACAGCATGATAAGTCTTGAATTGCAAGTTAAGTCACCAGATTGGTTTCGATTTGCAAGTTAAGTCACCAGATTGAATGGAATTTCAAGTTAAGTCACCAGATTGGTTTGGAATTTCAACTTAAGTCACCAGATTGGTTTGGAATTGCACCAGATTGGTATGGAATTTCAACAAATGTCAGCAGATTGGTTTGGAATTGCGACTTAAGTCACCGGATTGGTTTGGACCTGCAACGTAAGCAATTGGTTTGGTTTGGAATTGCAACTTTAGTCACCAGATTGGTTTGGAATCGCTACTTAAATTACCAGATTAAACATTTTCCCAGAACCTTCAACAAACCATTAAAATGGAGTCCTAGCAACCCGGAAGGACATAATCCGCAATTATATATTTGCACAGTTTTTCTTCAAACAAAATTACAACAGCATTTCTCCAAACAAAATACTTTATTACCACATGATTTCAAAAACAAAAACACACTTGTATCACAGAGCACAATGAGATACCTGCCACAAAATGCAGCTAAAATAAATAGAAAGCAATGAAGTTATTGAAGATGTCACTTGACAAAAATAAATCGAAAAGCCCATCTACACTGAAAAGCCCATCTACACTGAAAAAAGTAAACACCAACAACTGTTGATTTACATTCTTGCATCATATATTGTAAGATTAATTCTATTTTCATTACTTACAAGTACTTCTGCAAAAATGGACTTATTAATTTTAAATTCTGTAAAATAACTTGATAAAAGACTCTCATATAATTAGACATATCAAAACAATTGTAACACAATATAATAAGTAAATCTAACGCAACTAAAGTGATCTTTTCGACCTTATTTTTGAACTCAACTTAAATCTGACTGTTATGGCAAAAATCTTCAAAAAGCTGTATTAATTTCAGCTTAGTGTCTATATATTCAAGTAGCATATTGAAAACGGTGAAAATACTTATTATATCTAACTGAAATGCATGAAAATCAAATATTATGACATATCATAAACAAAAAATGAAATATGGTCACTTTGAAATAAAATTTATTTTGTCATGGTTAAAAGAAAATCTGTAATTGTTAAACTTCTTTATAACAGCAGACAGGTTCTGAAATGAATGATACTGAATAGATCTCACTGATACAACTCAGTGATAATATAAACTGGCAACAGTTCTACTTGTATGATTACACGTTTAAATTTTTAATATAGATTATATTTTCAAAACTGTATTTAAATTTGTAACAACCATGCTCATTGGATAATGTCAACGTTAAATTATCAATGTACATGTTTGTGTCAAATACATCTCAATTTTCTATCAATTAAATCAAATCAATTTTGTGTCTAGTACTGTAATTTAGTTTAGACAGGTAACGTGGAGATATCTATACCCGATCGACGTGGAACGTGTTATATAACCTTACAGCTGTTTATATTAGGCCATATAACCAGTAAATACTTTTATTAATTAAACATTCTAAAAATTTACAAGCCACTCTACTAAACTTATGATGATAATTGACTATAAATTCACACTGAATAAATTAATATCTTTAAAAGGAGACAATCTTTAAAGTGATAAATCTATATTAATACACTACCCACAGTGTAATGCAACATCAGAATGACTGAATCAAACTGATATTTTCTACATTACTGTTTATCAGAAATAGTAATAAATAAAGCATTACCAATCAAGCAAGTCCAATTGACAGCATGTACTTGTAGCAAATTTTAACTTTCCTATAACAAAATTAATATCATTACAACACAGTACAAATAACAAACACATGAAATTGTGAAATTTCTTTCCCTTCAAATAGCTCCTGTACATATGAAGCATGGTTGAATCAGGCTAGGTATCCATGTGAAATGACCTTATTAACCACTAGTTACTGATAATTTTGGAAAAAGTATGGGATCTGATTCACATTCAGAATATATCAAGTCACAAAAACATATGTTATTTTGCAGTGAATCATGAATAGCTGTCTTGACTTTGGAATAATAGAATGTAGAAATTACAGCATTTTTGTTGTAATGTTGACTTAGTGATTCAAATGATTTTTTTGTCCAATAGGATTGCAGTATTTCAGATGAATTGTGACATATTTACTTTGGTAAAACAACAAACTATTAATCAGTCTAGTTAATTGACTGTTTATAAAAAATTTTCAAACACTAAATTTATCAAGTGTAAATACAAGTAAGCATTTACCAATATAAATCGGTCGAACAGTTGTGCTGTTCTTGACCAATATAATTATGTAAATGCTTACTAATAAACACTAACCAATACTAAATATAAAATTAAATATATGTTGGTTTTTAGATTTCACTTCATAATTTACAAGAACTAAAACATCAAAAGCATGTTATGAATTTTTAATTTGTGGGCTATACACCAACTATAAATATATGTATTCGGCAGTCAAAAGTTAACATGACCAAGTCAAAATCTACTCTAACAAGAACAGACCTGAAACTGATGTACTTAACAAACAAAGTATATACACATAATATGTTCCCCTGGAATGCTTAAAGACTTGAGTTTTACTTCCGATGACCTGTCGTGACAAATGTAACTAAAACTTTTTTTTTACTATAAAAGATCGACAACAAACCAAATATTTTAGTAAAATATAAACCAGTAAGATCATAAAAAATTTTAACAACGTCCGAGAACTTCAATAATGTACATGTTAACTTTAAGACAAAGCACTGTTTTTATATTAATATTACAATTTATGCAGGACCTTACATATTGTAGCATTAGTGGTAGCTTTATTTCGAATGAAGCAAACAAAAGTTCATGTGAGCAAAACTGTATCCTGATGGGCCTTCAAACACAAGCTAAACTTGAAAATTATTCACAAGTTTTAGTTTTAGCAAAAATAATATTAAATTAATTTCAGAATAGATTTGGGTTATATCTATAGTCAAGAATAGCTTCCAACATTTACATCAAAAATTAGATAAAAATCATCATTAAACTCATAGCGAATCATCAAAACATGAACAAATGGCTAAAATAACATGTATTCATTATGCTTAATTAAAAAAGAGTCAGTATTTCCACAACTTCAATTGCCATTTTTCTATATAATGTTCTCTGTCACTTTCTATTATAATCTTGAACAAAATTTCGATAAAAATCCATCCTTAGAATTCTATTTTTATAATTTTCGAAGTTTCCAGTTCCTAAAAGCTGTTATCAAGGTCCGAGATCTCCCCGTCAGAATTAAATGACTGTACTTCATCTGATTCATCAGTTCCGTCCGACGTCATTTCCTCCTCGCCTGTCAGAGCGACACGGGCGTAATCATCTGTGTCTATAGATTTACAGAAATGTATGGCGTATTTGAGCTTCTCCTTAAGAACCAGCTTGCACGAGTATCGAGGCATTTTCAGCAAGAAAAAGCAGGTATAGCTCTCTGGCAAGAAATGGTCTGGTGGATGATACTTGTCTAATACCTATAAAAAACATCATAAAAGGGTCAGTTTATATAATACAAATTTCTTACTGCAATAAATAAAAGTCAAATGATAAAACAAAATTCAAATACTGTTTTACTAAACTTGAGAAGCAAACATTGTTAAAGACTAAATAGACACAGAAATCTTGTTTAACCTAGGACCAAGATAACGTGTGATAAATGTGAAATGATCTGCATCTGTCTTGTGTGCAGCAGACTGTCTGATTCCAAATTAATAATCAAATGAGTTGTCTCTTTTCCTGAACCTTATCCAATAAATACATGCACTTAAACATGTATTTTAAACAAATATAGATTTTGTGGGGAAAAAAATATAACCAATTCCTCAAAAGTTTCCTTGTCTTCAATTTTTTTTTACAATAACACTTGTTTTTTTTTCAAGTATACTGCATAGTTCTTTATAGAACAGACAATGACACAGAGAAGTTTGATTTATTTTCTTCAACAAAAAAAGCTTACTGCCAATAAAGAATTTCCATATTCATTTACCTGTAGGACAAAGTCCCTGCCTCTGAAGTCAGCTATGGTACGAGGCAGTCTTGTCCGTCCCCAGACAAACCTTAGAAACAATGACCTCTCAGCATTAGAGAACTCTTCCATCACCTCCCAGAACCACTGAACTAATGGAGCTGTGGCATCCACGCCCTTGTACGTGGCCACAGATTTCAGAAGATTTAGAGGGATATCTGGGCTTCCACAAACCTATAAAAAAACACACCTTGATGATAAATTTACCAAAGTAAATTCAATTTGATCAGCATTTATCTAGCTGTGTACTTAAAATATTACTTTTGTTCAAATGAATATCAATATAAGTTAGCCACGCGGAAATATTGGCGAATTATGTGAATTGACGAAATGGACCAAATTGACCAACTGTAGTGAGGTGCAAACTGTATGAATCCAACAGGCTTAACCATCCAGACACACAGGTCAATTTTTCAGCTTTACTGCTGGAAGAATATAAAGTCAAACCCGTGTTAAAGAAGACCTCTGAATAAAGATGTAAATAAAAGCCACTTTTTCTTTGATAAAATGGAGTGGTTACCTCTAAGTAAGACCACTTGTCAAAAACAACCCATGTTTTATCTTTTCTTTAGATGGCCTTTATTCACAGGGTTGACTGTATCAAAAGCCCCTTCTATACATACAGGGTAGAATTAACAATCTTTTGTATAATAAAAGATCAAAACTAACACGAAGAATTCATGGAGCATAGCGGAATTCTAACATATAAATGTGAAAGGTGAACTATATCTAGAAAACATACCATGGTTTCTTTCTCTAAGCCGGTGAACAGTGACAGTAGTGGTACAGGGACTACTTTACTCATTCCCTCTCTCACCCATTTTACCTGGTCATCAAACTCATGTAACCTGCCAATAAGAAAGTTATATTAACATCATGTTTGAAATGGTACAATAAATTTTATATCATCAGGTCAATTCCTCTGTACCTGACCTTGATGAGGTTAACATTATTAGGAGTATATAAACAAATTTATGATGTAATCTAAATTGACCTAATACTTTGTGAACAATAACATAAGATTTAGAATTTCTTTTGAGACTGGCTTAATGATGAATATACAGTGTAAATTGTATTTTTTTTTGCTTCTCCTTTTCCAGTAAAAGAATGAAGCTACCGTGATCTTTATATAATCTATGAAACAAAAGTCAGAACATCTTTATTTGTCTAGTACTTAAATGTATGATTGTTTACAGCATATTTTAATAAATTTCATCACATATTCTAACATTAAGTTCACTGTGTAGTTTACTGTATATTTTAACATAAAGTATGATAATTCATGGCATATTTTAACACAAAACAATGAAATGTTTAAAACAGTTACCTGTAGTTCATTGCTAGTCGGATATATTCTGATTTATTTTCTGGGGTGATCTTGCCATACTTGTTACTAAGGTGTATTTCCTGACCGTTAGAACTGGGTACACTGAACGGCATATCTGCTCGCCTTAAATCTACCTCATCCATCTCCTTAATACACATTAGACCTGCATATGTGTAATGAAGATATAGTTTATATTTATGAAAATATAGTTTATATCTATGAAGATATAGTTTATATCTCATCTTGACACAAGAAACACACGCAGTAATAAGCAGCTAATGGAAAATATTATACAAGTTTAACTGAACAGTTCTATGATCATGATAATAATAAGACATTTCCTTTTTTCAATTTTTGTATCCGAAACATTAGGCCTGACCTTTCAAAAACTACTCCGGTGAATATTCAATATTATCTCACTGACAAATTTTGAATATATACATGCAATGAAATGTATTTAACATTCAAAATATTTTTTTTTCCATTTTCCCTAACTGATTTAAATCCTACATTTTTACACTTCCGAGCTATACCTTGAGTTAAATGTATTACAATACACTAATAAATTCTCAATCTTGCACTCAGTTACATAATATGTTAGTGAAATTTTACACTGAGAACAGTTTCTATACCTGGTACAAAATCTTTATCCACCTCGGTCAGATCACCTATGGTAAGGGGCATTCCTGCACACTGTTTCCATAGTGGCTCTGCTAGGTTTATACTGAGAGGGCTTCCACTACGGATAGCAATACCTATCAAAATACCTGTAATATATACAAACATAACGTTTCAACCTGTTGTCCAAGACCATAACATGGAGGTAACCTGGGAAAAATGAAAGCCAGATATATAACTTAAAATAAGATCAAGGCCTTTGTACAATATAAAATCATAGGTACTTATAAAACCTTTGATCTTCCACTTTGCTGAAATAGTATAACCATACTTGTTATAAGTATTTTAATAGGAGATAACTAGGAAAAATTAATGCCATAGTTAAGTACCTTGTCAGTGACAAAGTTATGGAATTTGCGTACGAAAATCTTAGTGAACGGGAAAAGACTGCAGTAAGACTACCTTAAAGGTATCAAACAGATGGAGGGACATGTCATAATATGATGAAAATCTCCAAAGATAAGAATGAAACCATCATATAACTTACCTAGGAATTTAAACATGTTCTGATGTAATGGTGTTTTCAACATTGGGTTAAGCAGGAAGCAGTCTCTGTTGGCTCCCGACTCATCTCTACCATTTGGTGTTACAATAAGGAGAGACAGGGAACCATTCTGTAACTCGTCACACATTTCAGCAATACTTTCACTGTAACCTCCACCGCAGTCATCCACAGACTCACCTGTAATTATTTATAATTGATAATATTTGTTGCCCCAGGTACCTAAGGAACATATACTTCCATTTAAACCTAAAACATGTGCAAGTTATTTTTTCTTGCATTTTTTCATAGAAATAAATGTCATTTCATAGAAATAAATGTCATTTCATCCATTTCTATTTTCTTAAGGTAGCATATTATGAATTTACAGGTTCATTCACAATGGTGAAATGAAATCATCACAGGCAGACATTTTTATTCTTAAATGTCACCCCCATGCCTGATGAAATTTCAAGAATAATTACAATACAAAAATGTTTTTAAGATTATTGCATGCAACAGTTTAGCCAATGCACTATTGAAAAGTATTAAAATTTGAATATTCAAGATGCTAAGTAGATAATGTTAAAATTTTTCGTAGAACATATCAAGAGGATTTTTGTTGGTTTTTCTTCAAAATATTTCCCATTTTGTCCCAAAGATTCATCAAGTAGGACTATTATTGCAATAGTTACATGACATTCTTGCCATGATAATATGACATTCTTGCAATGATAATACAATATTCTTGCAATGATAATATGACATTCTTGCAATGATAATATGACATTCTTGCAATGAGAATACAACATTCTTGCAATGATAATATGACATTCTTGCAATAATACGACATTCTTGCAATGGTAACATATCATTCTGGCAATGATAACATGACATTGTTGTACTGATTACTTGACATTTTTGCACTTAAACTTGACACAGATATACTGGCTTTCCCTTTTTCTGCACAATCTGCTTCATAACATTAGCTTTAGATATCAACACATAAAAATGTTAATTGATTTGAACTATTTGCCAGATTCATATTTCTATATCCTTTTTTCTTTCAAAGAAACATGTTACTTTGAAAAAGCAAATCAATGCCTTTTATTTCTCTGACACTCTTTTGATTAAACTAAAGTTATTCACATACCAACAAATTTGACTTTCCAGATCCTGTGAGGCAGCATTAAGGAGTCTGCTCCAAACACTCCCATCTGTTGTGACATCTGTCCAAATACCGACTTGATACCGTCAGGGCCAGCAACTCCGCCTTTCCCTCGAGATCTCTTCACCTGTATTCTATTCAATTCTAGGACAGGACCATGTTGCTTGTCACGCACCATTGTGGCTTGTACTACTTTCCTAAATGCTGTTTCCTGAAACATTATCATTAAATAATGAACACATAGTGAAAGAGACACCAAAGGATAAACAGACTAGAAATATTTCTGGGAGCAAAATATAATTGGTCCACTTTACATAGAGGAAAACCCACAAAGTTACTACAATTAGCTAATTCATGCTTCCATTTGGATACTCGAGTGGCTACAGGCACAATAGGTAACTGTAGTATTTGATGTCATTCATTCAAAGCTCATTAAATTGGCTATGTCTTCTCTTCAGAGGCTACAGAACAAGAGCTGTCCGTAAGACAGCGCGCTCGACTTTTTTATTGCTTGCCAATAAAAAAAGTTTTTGCAGTAAAAGGCAATACAAGAATCTCTGTATTTTTAAAGTGAACAATGGCCATGAGCATTAAGATATTTAGTGAAGAATTATTTTATTATGACATAATTTATGGTAAAGTGAACAAGTGGATAGGAATGAATTTTTTTAGATTTTTTAAGTTTTTTAGTGCTTGCCTATAATACAAAACATTGACAGTTAAGGGCCATAATTCAAATAAAATCTTTGACAGAATTACCTTCTCCTGGACATGTTTGGGAATCATGATTGTAAACAAGTATTCCAACTTTCAAATTAATATCTCAAACAGTTCAGTCAAAAAGTGGACTGGTACTAAAAACTTAACCAAGATTCTAAGTCGATAAAAGGCCTTAATTTTTAAAACAAATCCTTGACAGAGTTACCTTCTCTTGCGTACAGATGGGGGTAATGATGTGAAATAGCATTAAAAGTTTCAAAGCAATATCTCAAAGGGTTAAGGCAATAAGTGGATTTACCCATATTCAATGTATTTTCTAAGTCAAAAAGGGCATAATTCTGTCAAAAACCTTGACAGAGTTATGTCCTCTTGTCTGTTGATGAAGGTCGTGATGGTAAACAAGTATGGTCAGTTTCAAAGCAATACCTCCAATGGTTTTGAAATAAAGTGAGGTGGTACAAAAAACTTAACCAAGCTCAATACACTTTCTAAGTCAAAAAAGGGCCATAATTCTGTCAAAAACCTTGACAGAGTTATGTACTCTTGTCTGTAGATGGAGGTTATGATGGTGAACAAGTATGGTAAGTTTCAAAGCCATACTTGTAATACTTCTGAAATAAAGTGGGGTGGTACGAAAAACTTAACCAAGGTGTGACGCCAACGCCGACGCCGGGGCGAGTAGGATAGCTCCCCTTTTCATAGAAAAGTCGAGCTAACAAAAGAGAATCCACCTTTGTATTTCACTGAAGCACATCCTATCACTACCTCAAATGATAATATTAATGAAAAGAGATGAAATTTAGAAAAAAGAAACATTGTCCCAGACTAAGTAATGTTACCTTTGCACTAGAGACTATCACCCCTCGTAGTTTATCTAGCCCAGTGAACACCTCCCCTTTATCTTGACTGGTATCCTGCAGATCAAACATTGAGATTGACGGGCAGAACAAGTCAGAGAAGTGATGTAGGAGTACCAGTCTATTTCTCAAGGTTGTTATTGGTATCGTCTGCAAATGATTGTATTCCATTGGAACATCAGTTGGCAACTTGCCAGCACTGACTGGTTTGTTTGTGGACCATGCTAAACTATGGGCAGACCCGCAAGCAACTCTGTTGATCTTTTTACCTAAAATTATCAAGAGTTGTACAAAACAATACATTTTATGTCAGTAAGAGTTAGCATTGACAACTTGTATTAATAACCTAATAAATTATAGCACAAGCTGTCAGACATAACATAAGTATTCTATTCCTAACATATGACATAAAAATATTTATCAATAAGGATGAAAATATCTAAGTAACTAGTATCTGCAAAATAGCCTCCTTAAAGGTTGGGTACCCATGTTTTGTTTATAAAAATGCATCAGGGTAATTACAATTCACTTTAAACAAACTGGCATTTATCTACAACATTATCCCTGATGCCACATAAATTCGAGAAAGATTAAGCCATATAAAATAGAAAGAAATAAAATCTAACCTTGTAAAGCTGCCACTAGTCTGGGTCTCTGTATGGCATTGGTTGTCCCATCCCCCAGTTGTCCCTCGTCATTATCTCCCCAAGAGTACACCTCGCCCATATCCGTACATCCCACACAGTGCAGGGAACCGCAGGCTATATCTACAACCTTCTTGCCTTGAAGAGCCGAGACCCGACGGGGACGTCTAACATGATCATCACTTCCATGTCCCAGTCTATGGTAGTCACCTTTACCCCTGTACATGAAAATCACATTAAACTCTCAAACTCAAACCATACTAAATTTTTACAATGAACTTGTCCTGCTTTTTGAGCTCTGCATTTAATGAGAATTATCAATTATTATTGTTTTAATAAGACAAAATAACAAAGCAGACAACAATGTCAGTGAAATCGGAAAAAAATAATAAAAACCTAAAGACACTTCCATCAGATAGCAATGTCAATGATATACTGATGATAAATTAATTTGTTACTATTTAAAAACATCATTGAGAACTTAACAATATTCAAGTACTTTGATAATTGTGGAAATACTATTATACAATCGTACAGTCATTTCCTTGAATTGTTTAGTATTTGAGAAATTAACAAATACTGCATAAAATCTTACACAGGAATATAATCGTCCAAGCTTGTTTCTAGTTATATTTATATGTTTGTTCAAACGTTTGTTTACCTAACTCTTTGACAAACTGGCATTACTTTTAAGTATTCAACATTGTCAAAACACCTTACCATGTGAAGACAGCCCCTGATTTAGTGAGGGCTACAGAGAATTGTGATCCACATTCCACCTTGATAACACCTACACCCTGTAGTGCATCGATCTTCATAGGAACCTTACAACCATCACTACCTCCACGACCTACAAATAAGACATTAAATTTTGTGATTGGATGTATGTTTTAAGTCATATAGAAACTGTTTATGACACATTGAAACTATTCTACTAGTGCAAAAAGACAGTAGGCACCTCCAAACAAATTTATTCAGGTTTTGTAGACACCTGAACAAAAGTATCATATTAGATTGCTGAAGGAAGGAAAGTTTCTCCAAAGCACATTATTTCAGATGTTTGTGGGTACATGAATACAATAAATCTTTTTCCTGTATAAAACAAGTAGCCTGTTTCTGAATGTTTTTTAAAGACAAGGGATGTAAAGGAAGGCAAAAATTACAAAATGACAGTAATTTACTAAAGAAATTCAAAAATCGACTTAAATACTTAAAACATTCATGAAACACTTTTTGTAAGTTGCTGGACAATATGGAATTTTTATTTTGAGTGTGTTACTCAATGTACATCATTTTTTCTGATCATTCTTAAGTCATGTTATTTAAGAACTGTCATAAAATATTTACCAAGTTTTCCATAATCCCCGTCACCCCAGGACCAGACACAATCATTATCTGTAATACACAGTGTCTGGGCATCCCCACTACCACATGCTACATCTGTCACACGCTGACCCTTCAGTGCTTCAACCTGAAAATATCACACAAATTTGGTAAAAATTATGTTTATAAGTGTTAACAAACAAAAAAAATACTTTTTCCAGGTTGAATTTCATTAAGCACGTAAATCTTATTAAATCCAAAAACTGAACTTTTTAACAAAGCCCCAAAAGCATCCTGTATTTAACTTCATGAAATCTAAAAAAGCAACAAAAAAAAACACAACTTTTTTTCACAACCTGAAAAACCATCCTGTAGTTAACTTCAAATGTATTTTATTTCATTACCAACAACAATTTTCAAACCAAAATAGACACAGGTTTATATTAAGGCAGTTTTAAGTTTGACATTAGTTACTTTCTTTAACCCTTACCATACTAAATATCTTAAATGGACTTGTCCATCTTTTAATCTGGACAAAACCATTCAGCATCATTTTCAAGAAATATTTCAAAACATATACTGACTGATCAGATGGCCAGGAAGTTTCGACTGATCTTGGCCTACACTGGTCACACGTGTAGATTCCAGTCACCAGCAATGTTAACTTTAATTAATCAAACAAATAACTAATTCCTACCATTTTAGGTTTAGACTGGTCCTCACTATCACCATGTCCCAGTCTGCCGTACCTGCCTTTACCCCAGGTGTACAGTTCCCCGCTAGATGTTATACATGCACTGTGAGCTCCTCCTGCAGCTATAGATACCACCTCCTTGCCTCGTAGTGACTCAATCACCCTAGGTCTATCACATGGACTGAATAAGAAAATATTAACATATATAACTATGGAATTACAACAAACGTAGTCAGGAAACAAAATTCTTTGGAATTTTGAGCCTTTAGGATTCAGATAATCGTTTTTAAGCTATTCTCAAGCAGTCTGACATGAGATCTTGTATTATTTAAGTAAGACCTACAGCCTCATTACAGTCTAATTACTAACAGTTTTTTTTTTACTATTGAACTTATTTTTTACAACTGACCTAAAAATTAAACACTTTCACACATCTGTAGTATTTTTTTATTTTTTTAAATTGTCACCTTGGCACTTCGCACTTAGCAGTGATAGGCAGATCCATGCCATTGTATTATAATAAACTAAATCCATTAATCCCTTTAATTAGCAACAGAAAATTCCAAATTCAAAATATGGCAAGTGTATGACACAAATTTAGCCGAATTAAAGTAAAATGTTTGTCTTACCTTCTATTTCCATGTCCTAGTTTCCCATCTTCTCCCTCGCCCCAGGAGTACACCTCCCCCTCAGCTGACAGGGCTAGACAATGTTTCCCTCCAGAATTAACCGCTATCTTCTTTATAAACACATGTTGTATAGACTCGAGTAGTGTTGGAGTGGAAATTGACTCTGTACCACCTATACCCAGTCTGCCACCTGCCCCATAACCAGTCGCATATACCTGCGTTAATAAAAACATAACTTTAACCTGTCTATAAAGAACTTTACAATATAGGGATTGCAGTTATAATCTACATGTAATACCAACTTATAACCAGTCTACCAAATATAAATATCTGGTAAACCAGTCCATAAAGAAGATGACAACACTAAGAAGATAGTCATAATCAACCTATAACCAGTCTGCTTTCAACTTAACCAAATACGTAACATGTACAAACAGACAGCAAAAAGGCAAATATAGAAATTTATTTATTTGTTTGTTTATTTTATTGGATTTTACACTGACACTGTAAAGGTCATAAAGCAACTTTCAAGCTTTATTAGTGGAGGATGACGTTATGGGGTTTTGACCCAAAGCGGTGAGGGGCAAGTGATTTTAAATCAGCAACCGTAACTACAAAGGCCCTTCAATATAGAAATGGTTCCATCATATTTAAGTTGACTCATGTACCATAATTCAATCATTAATGCAGAAGACAAAAAAAATGTCAATTTTTTTTTTATTACTATGAACTACACAAAGCCTAAAAACTGTTTTGATATATGCTCACATAATACAGGCACTGTACATAGAAAACTCTCGAGTTCAAAAATACAACAATACTTGTCAACCATGTATGCTCTCTAATGGCCAAGAATTAGTAATATTACAAATCTCCTTACTAAATTTGAAATCATTGATCAAAAAGTTTTTGTTTTTTTTTGTACTTTACTATGTCCATCATGACTTTTGACCTTAATACATATATCTATGACTCATGACTATGTTCCTCAGCAAACATGTCCTTATATTTCCAAAAATAAAACAACAACATTAAATTCTAACTAAATCGGGTAATTTACCTTGCCGTCTGCTGTTACAGCAAACAACGTCTGCTCCCCACCAATCAACTGTAGTGGTCTTAAACCCGACAATGACTCACAACTCACTGGTAACTTCACCTTTGCCCCTTCAACTCCGCCAAGCTGACCTCTATGATTGTGACCCCAGCCCCAGATCTGACCACTTCCTCCCCAAGATAGTGTCCAGTCTTCAGGTTTTCTAAGAACAAATAAACAAGCCATGTTTAGGTTTTCTTGAAAGAATACAAGATCACAACTGTGAAACATTTCCCTGATAAAAATTCCAAAATGAAACTTCCTAAAAATAAAATTGGTACTACTATTTCAAAATACTACATGCAGGTACATAAAATAATGACAAACGATATCCTCTGAACAAAGAAACATTGTCTCACCTTCATAAATATTCATTTCTTTTATTAATTTAAAATTCTTAAGTAAATTAATTATTGAAGTAAAGTGCCTAATGATTCTGATATTTTCCCCAATTTTGAGTAAAACACTGCTAAAATTCCAAATATTATTGGTAAGGGTAATGTTCGTGAGAGAAACAAAACAATCTTAAACTAACCTATTCATCCACAGTAGAAGCTGTTCATCCAACTCCTGTTTAAATATAGTATGATCAGCATGGTCTGTTGTAATGTTCTCTCCGTCATCAGCGATGTCTTGTATCTTCTTCATCACCTCATCCAGGAACGTCGCTGGCAGTTTTCCTCTCTTCACAATGGCCGCTACCACCCTGGCTGCCATACAGTAACGCCTGAACCAGGCCCACTTGTGAGCCATCTCTGTACAGCAGGTCAATGAGTCTAAACCAAGGTCACAGGCTAGAGCTACCAGTACCTTTAATCATATAAACAACAGATTTTACCATATAATCTTTACCATATAATCTGACAATCCTAATTTGAACCACAACTGAGGAAACCAGTCTTGTAAGTGAACCACTTTGATTTCCTATAACTTTAATAGATAATTGTTTTCAAAGTCTATAGTAGAGAAAGCGTGCTACTTTTCTTCTCTCATTTCAAGTAACAGAGTGCAACTGTACTACAAATGAGGACTTATTTTCAAACATCATTAAAATTTACTTTTACATGTATTACTATAAATTTACTATCAAGAAAGACTTTTGTGGAAATCAATATATAAACTGACCTTAAAGAAAGGACTATGCATGAGATGTTTGCCACTGCGTACTATCGGATCCTCGTATTCGTACTGTCTCTGTAAGGCCTCGGGTAAACCTTTCACAAGCGAGGATAATGCTGTACTCGTCAAGGGCTGGAACATAGAAGATTTATTCCAATTTATTACATACATTATTTATATTGAATTAACATCTTAATATTTTAAAGTTAATCAATAATCTGTCTTCAACGTTAAGCCAACTAAGAGAACATCAGCATAATTCTGTTAACAATGAAAAACTTAGTTTGACATATAAACAGGATGATTAGCAAGCGTATAAAGTGGGGGAAACCTAAACATTTACAAGCTTACATGTTTGCAACTACAATGGTAGAAACAAACCAATGTCTTCCCAGAATTTTAGCAAAGGAACAAGCTCAATTCTTTCATCAGAAACATATTTAATTAGTTTGAGTTTTTACCCTGTCAATTCAATCTGTTTTTTTTTTAAACTCTCCAAAACATATAAGCTGACACTTGTACAAAGCTATTACCTAATTTTTAAAATTTTTTTTTCCGGAATGGATGCAAAAAAATTTTCATAGGATAAGAGATGTATTAAAATGTTGGGCCGGGTTATTTTTTCAAGAAGTTTTTCAAAAAACTTATTCGACACGAACATTATACTTACAACAGAAAATGATCTCGACAGATCTTGATCTGTGTCTAGTGTTGGACTCAACAACAGTTCATTCACATTAAGGGTCTGTCCAAAGTTAGCACTGATAAGACGTCTCAACTTCTGTAAAGCCCACATCCTCTGAGCTGCCCCTGTAAGTATAATAATACATTTTGTCATTATATCAACAAAGCTTTAATGATTTTTGTTTCTAAATCACAACAATGTATGTAAGTTTACAATCATAAGTATAGACATTCATGTATGTAGAATTATGTAACTTCTGTAAGGCTAGATGCATAGCTCTCTCAAGAAGAAATATCAGTATTACATATTTGGGTAGGAACAGAAGTGACAATAGTTTTAAGCCATTGTGGGAAAATTTTAAAATATGTACTGACTGAAAACCAAACAGGGCAGACTGTAATCATATGGCAGGAATGTGCCAGCTGATCTTGGTCTACTCTGTTCACATGAGTAGATACAGTTGTCGCCATAACAGCAAACTTTAAAATGCTCAACTATAGAATGAAAACAGATAAACTTACCAAGTGAACTGAGCTGAGCACATGCAGCCAGGGATGCAGCCAGTCTGGCGATGATGTTTCTATCCATATTCACTTCCAGTTTGAAACCCAGCAGGCACGTGACCAGGTCTATTGAAGGTCGTGAAAGTACAGTACGATCAGACAACATGTCCATTGGTGCGGCAGCTGGCATTATGGGATATACAGTGAAATACCAACCCCAGCCATTGACTGAACCGTCACTTGTAAACTTCCAGCGTATCTCATCACCTTGGATACGTAACTCTGATGACCAGTCTGTCCATTCACGTCCTAAAATAAACATTTACAATATCTGAATCTGATCAATCTTAATTTTTAAAATGGGAAATTCTTTTATGATTCTGTTTCCTTCTGAAGGGCAATGTAACTTAAGTTTCAGATTTCTTTAGAAATTACAACAAATTTTTCATAATCTACTTAAATCAGCAGTGGAAATCAAAGCAAAAAACCTTTCCCAATATGTGAAGAGCATAAAAAATTGAGGTCAATATACCTAAACTCTTATATCTTTAGTGCTAACATTGCAAGCTGACAAAATGTATCACAAGCAACCATATTTATAACAGTTTGAGTAAAATAACAAAATTATTCAGAACAATTTAAATCAATTATTCCAGGTAACCTGGTGGTTAAAGCAGTCTTTCCCTCAACTTGGGACTGTAGATACAAGCCCTACCCGTGTCACAACAATGTTTCCTAATATGAAACCAGTTTTAGTTCCAGGAAGCAGATTAGCGTGTCATTCAAATATGCTTCAGGTCTTCCTCACAATTAAGCTTAAATAAATATGTTTGAAATTTTCACCTGATCTAACAGTGAGGTTTCTACCAGCACTATCCATTATAGTCAGTGGATCATGTCTTCTCTCAGTAGAACATCTTCTATCAAACTCAATCCTCAATGCCTCAGCTCCTATAACATATAATAGATACATGAAGAGATTTCAAAATTACATGTCTCATTAACAAAGAAGCTATGACATTTTAAAAGCTGATTTTGTCTAAATAAACAGGCTTGCAATATTTTGTTCATGTTCTAAAAATTTTTTTTTACAGCCTGTCAAATATCAATGTTATTTTTAACTTTAAAACTGCTATTTGTCCTACAAACCCAATGAAGCCATTAAAATAGATATTTATCATTTAAATTTCAATGCCAGTGTCAAATTTATTTTAAAAGTATTCATAACTCAAGACAACTCTACATCTTTGATTACTTAACATTTAAGGCTGAAATAATTTTAACCAGATAAAAAGTTGATATTTAAGAATAAATGTAGATGTCCGAGTCTGTATCATAATAACTTAAACTCAGTACATACCTGGTATTTTAACATGACCTGCCAGTGAGGTATCATCAGTGTATGGATGTGGGCTCTCCTGTACAATAGGCTGGGCCAGGGACCGGCCCGAGTCCCGATCAGCTGCCACATCCTCTAGCTCTGTCACACAGAGTTCGAGCAGCATCTCCGCCACAGCAGGGTTTGACTTGGCTAACCCAGTGAGGACCTCAGACAGTGTCTCTTTACCGCTGTTGCCTACACGGCCAGCCACAGACAGTTTAAGTAGGTCAACCAACACCCTGGAATCATCCGGACTAAGTCTGCTTGTGAATTCATCCAGACCTAAGCAAATGTATATCAATACATTTTTATATATTTAAAATCCATTAAAATATTCAACAATTTTTTATTTTAATTAAACGGTTGAAATTTAACTTTCTTTTTGTGGATATCCTTATTTTTCCATCCAAATAAAATCTAATTAAAATCAACCTTAATTAATTTTTTTTGTGTACAATGGTGATATTAAGATAACTTTTTTTCTTTTCTGCCTGCAGTCAAACAAATATATGTTTGACACAAAGCATCAGTAAGTTATCACAGCCAGGTATCCTCATACCATACCAGAATAAGTAAGTTTATGCTGAATTGACAATGATTTACAGAAGCGACAAACTTTCATTGCAACCAAACATAAATATGTTTAGCCTATGGCGGCAACTAATTCTACATATTCATGCCATCTGATCATGGTTTGCACTGATTACTATTCAGCCAATACTTATAATGAAAATCTCCCTAAAAAGGATAATTTGTTTTGTCCAAACTGAAAGATCCCATGGATAGGTCCATTTAAGATATTCGAAAAGGGTTTTAAAATACATGATAGGCTTGCATTTCAATTTTAAACTTAAATAATTCAATGTTTAAAAAACTTTAAATCAACTAAATATCTACACATTACAAAATGGAAAGTAGAAAAGCAATTACCTGACAATATAACTTGTGGTTCATGTGACTCCATAGTGCTGGTGACCTCATCAGGTGAGGTGAAGGTCTCTGCCATGATACTCGTTACCTTGGAAACCTTTGAAGCCAAGGAATGCATGCTGGGAAATGCATGATGCTCCTCTAGTGTGATCTAAAATACATACAAGAGCAATTATTCCAACACTAATACTTTCTCGTCTCTGTGTAACATGCATGTTTGCAGAGGAGCATAGGGCATCAGCAGATGATTTCTAGCACATAAAAGTGGAACACCATATTTAAAAGGGCTTTAGTTTAACTCAACATAATTGTTAAGTCTAAACTTTGTAAACTGACAATGAGCTTCTGTGTCCTTGACTAATGGCAACGGTAACCCGGACAATGCTAAATCATCAAGAAAAAAAGGAAAACTGTGGATTCAAAAATCCTGAAGCCAGGAATAACCATAAACACTTTTAATTTTTAATATGTCACAAAAATTTATTTTTTTTAAAGATGAGAAAGTCATAAAATTTCTCACCTCCTGTGTGGAATCAACCAACGACACACCAATGTCATTGTGGTCAATCACTGATGCCATGTCCGCTTGCTGTGATGTGGAGGCCACCAAACTAGAGTCCATGCTCGGTGTGGGAGTCATACTCCTGGGCGTGGCTGTAGCATGGGACAATGAGGTCAACATGGGGTTTGGAGCAGGTACGGCCTGACATTCCTTCATCAATGCACTTACAACCACATCTCTGAAACATAATGTACAGTGTATATGAAAAGATGTTTGTTTGGGCTTTTACGATGATTTTATCACATTTTTGGTCATATCACAGAAGTCAATACACTTATCTTGTTTTCCAAGATAACTAACCAGTAATTACCATTTCCTCTGCATGTCATCAGCTACTAATCCCTAATGATTTATAAGTTACAGCAGTGAGAGACAAATGACCATAAGACTCTATTGTCTGAGATCAATTGTCAAAGATCTGACTAAAGGATCGAACCGGTGACCTCCTGGATTACAAATTATTCCTCTCCCAAGTGAGTTAAGCAGGTAAACTTTATTAAATGGCTAAATGATTGGCTCTTGATATAGTTACTGTATTAAGGTTAAAAAATCATCTGCTGTATTTCAAAACAAGAAATCCTGCCTAAGATTCTTTAAAAACTTTAAAGACTTTCCACAATCAAGCAAGATTCCTAGCTTAAAACAAGTTGATGTTTCTTCCTGGAATTATTCTTTAAAGAGTTATCTTAAGCACATATCAAAGGAAGCCTCAATATGTTTATAATCTAAATTCTTATTAACTAACAGACTTACCTAGCATACATTATCTGCAAGGCTGTCAGGACATTTGTAAGAGCCTGTTGCTTGGAAACATCAGATTCCTGTGAGAGTATGACCTTGGCAAGTGAAGGTCGTGAAGATTTAGTGTGAGACGACGTGGACAAGTTTGGTGAATGATCCTCATTGTTCCCCTCTATTATACCTGAAAGTTAATTAAATATTCAAGGCTCAATTTTCTTCCTTGTTGACACGAAATCTGCTGAATATATGTAATTGATTTGCACTAATTTGGAATTGGAACAGTCCTTTTAAAATTTTAGGGATTTTAGCATGGAAATACAAAAATAATTGAGCTACAAACAGTATAAAGCCTGGTCAGACTTCAAGGATGTGCAGGCTCACCTAACTCTTAATTAGGGAAAACCTTTTCACTTTGGGTTCCAGCAGGTTTTGGGTTGATGTCAATGCAGAAAAATCTATGCGGAAGAACAATTTATGACATTTAACACATGATCTTTTTACTTTATATTTAGAACTCATTGCAACCAGTACTAGAATATCTAGAAACATCATAATGATGTAAAACAGATGAATGCACACTGTATATAAACTATTAAAAATAAAGTTTTAGGAAAAGGAAAAAAATAATGTGCATACTATTTGCAAGCATATAAGCAATTAGGAATATTCTTGGTGTAACTAAATTCTTTATCAAATATATAGCTGTAAAAGATATAAAATTAAAATCCTCAGACACAGTATTTCATCAAATTCAGAATGTTACCCTTCTTACCTAAATTAGTTGCTCCTAGAGGATCTCTAGAAGTAGAGAATAGGACAGGTTCATGTGTCATAGGGGTGGACAAGTCTGTTGTGGCCCATGCTACACTATGAGAGGACCCACAAGCCACCTTGGTGATCTTGTAGCCTTCTAAACCATGTACAAGAGCTGGTTTCCGGTTCACTGTTGTGGTACTGTTTCCCTGCTGACCGTGGTCATTATCACCCCATGCATATACCTGTAAGTAGATATGTATTTTTCATTATTTGTTATCATATTTGTCGGGGAATTAGGACTGCCAACACTGTTTAGGCTATATGGCAATTTTTCAGTTTTCCAAGAGAATGAAGACCTCAGTGTCCCTTTTTGTATTATTTCAAACATAAATGCAACTCATATTTGAATACTTCAAGCCACTCTTTTTGGAAAGGGTACAAGATAATGATGTAGTTGGTAAATAGTTATAAGATGCACATCTTGCAAGGTATTGCCAAAGTTGGAATTCAAAATCCATTCTGACTATAGCTACAACTTAATTCAAAGAAAATTATTTCATCTACACAACTCTTGCTCCATGTTTGGTGGAAGAGAATCATTTTTAAATATTCCACTTGAATTCTACTTCAAATAATTCTCAACTTATTATTAAGCTTAAACAACAACTGTTCCCTCTTTCAGTTAAAAAGAGTACAAATGACAAGCTTTGTTACAATGGTATAACATGTACATATTACCTGTCCTGTTTCTGTGACAGCTAGACAATGAAGCGCTCCTACAGCTACATGCACGATCTTCTTCCCAACAAGACCTTCAGCAAGGGTCGGCTTCCTTACATGGGCATCAGTCCCGTGACCTAGTCGAAAATAGTCTCCCTTGCCCCTAAAATTACATAAAGTTCATTGATCATTTTAAAAGATCATTTCAGGAAAATGCATGACAATGCAAATTTAATTTCATGCCAAATCCTCAAAATAATAGGTTTATTCAGTCATTACAATGTTAATGAGTTATATTTCATGTCTGCGGGAAAATCGTGAAATCTGCTAACATTTCTTAAACTCTAATAACACATGTCAAATAATTGAAGATGCCAGTATAACTGATAAACTGACAAACTTACATGTTAAGATATACAAACTACATGCTGAAATGCTTTTCTAAAATTTGGAAAACAAACAAAACAGTCGAAAAATAGCAAATGAAAACGGACTAATCTGAAGATATACTTCATATAGAAAAAAATCAACAACGCCTACCATGTCCAAACTTGTCCTGATTTTGTCCTTGCCAGTGAAAACTGGGCACCACACTCAATCTGGGTCACACCAAGACCTCTCAATCTGTCAATCTCCTTTGGAACATTACACCCCTCACTACCTCCACGTCCAAGTTTCCCGAAATCCCCGTCACCCCAGGAATATACCAGTCCCTCGTCAGTGAGGGCAAGAGTTTGAGCATCTCTACTGCCACATGCAATCTGTATAACCCTCTGTCCTGCTAGCTCCTTTACCTTTAGTGTCAATGAAAATTTATAGAGTTAAATTTCTTAAAGACCTATATCAGTACATTCTTGCTTTGCTGGCTGGCAATAATAACAGTGTGTTGTATATCAAATAACAAATCCAGGGTTTTCATATGAGGCAACAGATGCTCCAAAGAAAACAAACCATTTTACCAAGGGTCAAGGGTGATATTTTAATATACAGGCTGAAAATACAACCAATTTTAACCAATGGTTTGGATCGCCAATCGGTTAATAATGAAAACACTGAAATCTGTGCTAAAACTTATTACAAGTTCTAATGCTATTATTAAAAGTTTTCTCAAGCACATACCACTAAAAAGTGAAATAATTAGGGGTCACTCTTAGACTCCAATAATTACGTGGTATTACATGCTAGTACAGTCAAACCAGTGAATTAAGGCCACCCAAAGCAGAGACTGAACATGAACTTTGAAGACAAGTGGTCTTTATTTGGAGGTTAGTGTTTTATATTGTATCGATGCAGGGGTGACGAAAAATTGTCTTTATTTACAGGGTAGTCTTTAATTGTAGATAGTCTAGATAGTGGTTTGTAGATAGAAAGTGAATAATTTCAATATTCTAACATCTGACAATTAACATATCAAGTGTAGAATGATCAGTATTTCACTGGGACTATAGCAAATCAATACTGTGTTTTACCTGTTTCGGTTTTAGCTGTGTGGTGTTATCACCATGCCCTAATCTTCCATATTCCCCTAATCCCCAGGTATAAAGGTCACCATTAGATGTGATAGCTGCACTATGGGAGCTTCCACAGGAGATGTCACGTACACGCTTTGACTTCAGGGCATCTATCAATCTTGGCTTGTCACAATTCCTGTAATAGTTAAGTATACTGATTTCTTAATAAAGTTTGACACGCTCAAATAGATGCTATAAAAGACTTGGAGAGAGTCACAGGGTCTCATGTCCATTTAAATTCAGCAAACAAATCATTCACTTATTCACTTTTCTTTCTACTATACATTCTGTAGGCTTTTCATACTTTTTTTTTTAATAAATATGCTCAAGTTAAAATTTCACCACAAATGATTTCTTTAGAACTGATAATTTCTGTTGTATAAGTTCTGGTCTTAAAGCTACATTAAATAAATATGTAAAAATATATTGCCATCGGCCTAAAAACCAAGCATTATACAGTTTTATTAACCTTTTTAACAGTATTATTGTAAATATCTCATGAAACATTGTTCATAAATACCAATTTTATACGGAAAACCCCACAGTAACACAAATTTTCGTATACGAATTTTAACATGCAAATGAAGACTATAATCAGTTTGTGTATGTGCTACGCCACAGTGTTATAGTTGCTATACAGAACACAGCAAATACGAGATTTCATGTGCATACACACTTACATACACGTTTTAGCTTCACGGTGCACTTGGCATGGTGTTCAGGAAAGAGTAATCATCTCATAAAAATATTAAATTTGTATGAAAACAACCGTTACAATGCGTAAATAATATTTCATACTAAATATACCGTTATATTAGGACTGCTACTTATAGCCATGATAATTGATTTAATATTGATGTACGGATGACCCGAAGGCGGAGTTTCTCATGCAAATTCCAATTTCGCCACAATGAGGTCGCAGATATTTATGCTTATAAAACTCATTTTGGTTGCCAATTTATTAATGAAATGTCGCTATTTCTGTTTTTAAGAAATTCATTTAATGTAGCATTAAGTTACATTGTGTTAGTTGTATGGCAAAAACTTAAAAAATAAAATATTAATACCTCATGAAATATTGAATTATCAAATATAATCAACATCTGAGAAAAGCTATGATCATAAAGTAATATTTACATTCTACTGAAGTGACCAAGTTTGCCATCATCACCTTCGCCCCATGAGAAAACTTTCCCGTCCACAGTTAAAGCTAGGGCGTGACGACCTCCTGAAAGAAAGACAATGTATTTCAGATTTCAATTCTACATACAACAAGAGCCATGTCAACATGGCCATCCCCCGCCGAATGTGTTTGCTCATTGGAAGAATGTATATGTAGTAGAGCAGAATAATTCCATTTTAAGAGGTCTTTTGGTAATGAAAACTGATGGCTATAGTGATTACAGATTTGAAACCTATGTGAATACTGATGGCTGAAAATAACAAAAAAATAATGCAGGGTAGGTTATCATTCTTGTGTGCTGCATCCCTCCTCAGTAAAATCTATCCACCTATGAAGTTTCAAGAAAAAAATTGAATTGAAAAATTAAGTATGAAAAATAACAAAGGGCAATAACTCAAAAATTATGAAAGGTTGAGTTATCATTCTTGTGCACTGCACACCTCCTGAGTGAGATCTATGCACCTATGAAGTTTCATGTTGATATCTCATAGGCTTTTGGAGTTATGCTCTGGACAAAAATCAATTTTGAAAAATAACAAAGGGCAATAACTCAAAAATTATGCAGGGTAGAGTTATCATTCTTGTGCACTGCTCTCCTCCTCAATGAGGTCTATCCACCTATGAAGTTTCAAGTTGATAACTCAAATACTTTTAGAGATATGCTCCGGACAAAAATGTTGGACCGAAGGATGGACGGAAAGTCGGACGGACGGACGGAGGCTATTTCTATATCCCCCGCCGCCTTTTCGGCGGGGGATAATAATGGCTTAATTACTTCTGTCATCGCAGTAAGTCCTTAATATCATAATTGTACTTTTCTTTTTTTTTTCATCAGTATCATCACATATATAAATTCTTAATTTTCTGACATGAAATTTACTTACAAAAAGATGATTTCATTATATAAAAAAAAAAATTAAGTTCAAAATTTGATTTAATCCTAATTGTTATGAGGAAAGTGATTTTATTTACCAGAATGCACTGCCACTTTCTTGATGACATACTGACTGAGTGCTGTAAGTTGTCTGGGCACAGATACCGTCCCTGTATTCATACCAAGCCCTAGTCTACCATTGGTAGCCTCCCCACATGCGTAAACCTTACCCTCCTGGGTCACTGTAACAGGAAATCATTGTACAAAGTAGAAAATAAGGCAAGATGACAACAGTGTTGTATTTTTCAAATTCATTAAGTTACTTTTAAACAATACAAAATGATGTCATATACAGTGATATTCAATTTCTAAAACAAACAGTACCACATCCTTGAGTCACTTTATAATTCTTTCTAGCAACTCCTATGTAAATTTCCTTCCAAATACAAGTTTTTTTTTTTCTTTTTTGGCTGGGTTATATGTCGCCTTCACCAATAAGTCATATGTCGACTTTCCAGCTTTACTGGTGGATAGTGACAGATTATTTATATAAAAGAAATTTAAACCCAGCTACAGCAGTCCTTTCCTAAAACATATTCATACTACAAATAGACACTATTTCACACTCCACTGGCATTCTGGCAATTCATCAAGCATAAGATGGAAATATGGCAGAACTGTTTATCTTCTGCTCAACATACATGACAGGCTTCAAACTCACAGCTTTACAGAAAACGTAATTTCAAATTCAATAACCTTAACTATTAACCAGTTGTGGCAATATCTTGGTACTAAAATACCATTTAAACATGACACGAGATACTTTAACAATGACACTTACCACAGAAGAGTGACTTAGATCCACCTACAATCTGTACACACTTCAATGCTGATAATGTCTCATTCAACACTGGCAATTTGATCTGTCGCAAAATAAAAGAAAATACATAAAAAAAAAAAAAAATTTAAATACCCAAGCTTTTACATTTTCTATTGTGTGACTGGGTTTTTTTTTGTTGTTGGACAGAACAACAGTTAATCTGGCAACATTCCAGCTTCTACTGGCAGATGTAAACTCCCAATATATCAGAGAGTGCTAGGCAACTTGGTAGCGCCACCTTAAAACAGCTTCTTTATATCTATATTTAAATCATGTGTGAAATTTAGATATTTAAAAATTCCTTAAATTCTTACAGTTTAATACAGAAAAGAAATGACACTTACAAGTCATAACTTTAGGAAAAATTCTGAAAATTTCATTCATGACAACATATCAATGAAATAGTTCATAAATGAGAACATATCCTGATAACATGAAAGTTTACAAAACTATCTAAGCTTTGATTTAAACCTTATAATAAAAAATTTATGTGGACTGCAGAAACTTAATTTCCATCAAAATAATCTTCATATTCATATCTGTTACATGTATCTAAAAGTATATCTAAAGTGATAGTGACCTTTGACCCTTTCGGACCTCCAAGCTGATCTTTATCATTTAAACCCCAAGTAAAGACATGAGTTTGAATCTCTTTTCCAGCTCCTTTGACTTTACGTTTCACGCACGGTATTGGTAGCAACCTCGAGTCTTCTTCCTCGTCCTCACGGTCTGAGGCGAGGAATGAGAACCCGGCAGCCGAGTCATCATCGGACCGGAAACGTCCGACAAGAGACAGACCGTGGATTTTACAATCAATTCCACTCTGTCTGCACTGTTTAATGGCAATCTCTATATATCTATAATACTGAAATTGAAAAAAAGAAATATACATATAAATATATATAAAAAAAAATTCCGATAAAACAAAATCTTACAGTATTAGAATTTTCATATACATGTATTATAGAATCTAGAAGTAAAGATTTACATTCTTTATAAATGCCTCATTATTTTTAAATGATAAAATCCTTTTTCTGGGGAGAGTTTTATGGAAAACTTTTATACCTATATGATTGCACGTTTTCATACTATAGTACTATATCTATGAACTTATTACTAAAGTTAAATAGAACTTTAAGAGTAGCTTTATACACAAAAGGAAAGGAGCTAAACAAGTGCGAGCAGACACAGGAGCAGAACCACTGACTTTCTGTAATCTAGCTGAATAGTTTCCTCATTAGTTCAATTACTCTGGTCTGATTTGAACCCTCAGAGATGGGGTGGGGGGCCTCATACTTCTAATTAAAGAACCTTTATCACTCGGCCATGACGGCACCTACTGTCTCAAATACCAAAATATCTAGTAAATTCAGTAAATCTTAATGATAACAGATCTATAAAAACATACGTCGGAGCAGTCCTGCAGCAGGGTAATCAGTGATTCAGAAGAACCAATGTTGATTGATCGTATCTCCTTCAGGGAATGGACAGAGTCCCCACCACTTATCACAATCAGGGACGGCATGTAACTGGAATCTGTTGGCTCGACCCTCATAAATAAACGATTCACTAGAATATCAGGTAGCATCTCTATTCGGATCCAATGCTGCAATACAAGTTTATTTTCATCATATTTATTACTATCATGTTACACAAAACATGGTATTTTTTATTAATAGCAATTTGTCATTTAATAAATAAACTATGTTTATGTTATAAACTATGTTGCAAATATAACCCATCAACTAACTTTGCCCTGGAAGCCAGCGTTTTGCCTACAGTCACTTTTCATTTTGATCAGTTTATGTGACTGGTTGCCCTAAATTTTATTGACATAACCCACTAACTAACTTAGGCACGGAAGCCAGCCCTATGTCAATATCCACTATTTCCCCTGATATGTCAATATCATTGGTTCCCCTAAATCTGAGAGATATAACAAATTAACTAACCTTGCCCTGGGAGCCAGCACTCTGCCAGTAGCCACTATTGCCCTCGATCAGTCTATGTGACTGGTTTTCTCGTGTAGATACACTCAAGTTTTTCACACACATATGCCAGTCTTCAATCAGAGAACCGCTTGTTGGATAAACTGGTCTCTTCTTCTGTTTACCAGGTTTACCCGCTGGTACTGGTAGACCACCTATAACAGGAAACCAAAAACATTTGTATTGAACTAATGGTTCAATATTTGACTAGTTTGCAATTCTTAGATTTTTTTCCATTTCATTGGTGCATAAGGTATTAATGGTACAAACAAATTGGCATTCTCCTGTCTTAACTAAAAAAAATTTGCACAACATGGAATAAACTATAAATTGTAATGCTGATTTAGTAACTTTTTCTTATAGCTCAGTTTTTATAAGTACTGTAAAAAGTCTACACTTGATAAAACAATTATTTGTTTCATTTTGGTCGTATTTTGGCAGTCTGGCTTTCAGAGATAACTAACAAGTACCAATTTCTCCACAAGTGATGACTACTATTCCAACATGATTTCTGTACCAGCGGTGAGAGACAAATGACCATTAAACTTAATGTCCAAAATCAGTGATCATGAGAAATGAAATACAGATAAGGGCTTGTATATACAATACTTGAATCGAGAGGCAAAATACCTATAGGCCACCTCTTATGTTAGGTATTGTATATTATTCACGTCAAAGTTAAAGGTCAACAACAAGACATACCTGGTTCAGCAATTCTACTGAATGGATGCCTATGTTTCTTGGTTTTAAAGCAGTTCTCACAGAAATCAAAGTCGTCACACACACGACACTTGTAACGAACCCCCACAATGGGAAACATACTGCACTCATCGCATCTGTAATATAAACACAGACAATACATACTATTCAGTAGATTCAAAAACAACATATTTGTTCTAACACTGGTCATTTGTATGGCACAAGTCATTCCAAATATACCACTAATCTTTATAATACTTAAATCTCCAGTTGAAAAGGTAAGATGGGAATCTTGCATTTGCAATGAATAGTTTTAAAACAAAAATAAAATATACTTTTACTCAAGAATAGTCACAATTGTCTCTTATTTCATATAAGCAGGAAAGTAGTGGTAACATTCTCTTACCCGACTCCAGCATGGGTACTGGGTACAAGCTCCATCTCGTCCAGGACACCGGTCCAGTGAGCCTGCTGAGGGAAGTCTACAGTAATATCCCTTCCATTAGATATAATGGCCGTCACTGTACCTACACTGCGATGAGTCACTGAACCCCATTTGTATGTTGGTGTAACTATGCTAGGCTTCACCCGAACCTTGTCCCCAACCTTAATACTAGAGTCTGAATAGAGAAATATGGCACTTATAAATAAAGATTCTCACATCATTATTACACCAAAACCTGTAGTCTTAATTTAGTGAAGGCTTCGGTTTCAAATTTTACGATAAATTTTAATTGAAAACATGAACCTCCCCTAAAATCAAAAGCAGTACGAACTAAAAGTACAGCAGTTAAGCCCAAAGTGTGTGTATAAATGCATCATATATAACAAATCTGAAACTTTGTCAATAAAAGAGACACTTAAATTCAAGCAACATACAATTTAGACAGAAAACTATACATGTGTATGAAGGACACAGATGCCCTAACATTCCACTGTTTTGCCAGTCTATCCACAGACAGCATGATGGACAAGGGCAAAAATCAGTCTGACCCTTAAATGGGGGGATTATAGTCAAACATTTCTAGAACTTCTTGTATTTCATAATATACAAGTTATACATTTCTGCCAATGTCTATGAGAGAACTTACTTGTATTGATAAATCCTTGCAGCTCAACATGAACATATCTGACCCAGTATGTACCGCCCTTTCTCTGCCAGTCTGCTTGTATGTTCAAATCCTGAAGGCCATCTCTGTCCAACTATGAAATAATATTGAATCTTTGTTAGTATCTTTTGAGTATGACATTCTTATGACATGGAACTCTATGAATGACATTAATGTTATTAATGGTCGAATGAAGCAAAAAAAATTGCTTCAGCTTAAAATTCTAAAATATAAAACCATTTCCATAATCTACAGTCAAACCTGTGCATAATGTATACACGTATTGACTTTCCTCAGGAAATAATGATATATGGGTTTTAATTTAAAAGTTTAACTGTATCTATTTTTAGGAACGAATATAATCACCTTGATAACCTTCCCAATGTCCCCCTCATGCACCTCCTCATACGCCCGGCAACATTTTATCGACATGCCAACCTGTATATTGTCTCTAATATACATAGCATATTCGTCATCTGTCGCAAAATCTGCACGCTTCTTGTATGCTTGGTTAGTGTTGTTACCCAAAACCACCGATAGTAATAACTGAAAGTTTTACAATATTATATCAATACATGATATATATATATTTCAATTATAATCCAATTCAAATAATGAAGATTTTTTTTTTAGTTCTACTTTGTAGCAGTATAACAGATTGTTGATGTAAACATTTTTATGACAATATACCTCAAACAAAAAATTTGGAAGTGATAATTCAAAAAGAAAAATTAACACAGGAAGTAATTGGTAAACCTCTCCAGAAGAATCCAGATCTTCAAACACATCTGACGTGGAGTCAGTGTCCGAGTCATAGTCCACCGATGACACACTGTCCGAGTCTGAATCTTCCGCCGGCAATGTTTCTACATGCTCGATTAACCAGTTCACCACAGACTCCGGACTTGGTATATCTGATGCCGAAGCCAATGAACCTCCTGAAAGAAAGATATAACCACAATATTGTACCAATGAAAATGGGTTCAGTAAGAAAAATATCACATTTAGAAGTGGTAATGCTTCAGCATAGTCAAGCTTGAAATTAGAAACTAACTGTTATCTTTAAATAAAATTGGATAATGTGTGTATAGAAAGCTAATAATGTATGCAATTTTAAAAACCCTTATACTATAATCAAAAGTAAGGAATAAAGAGTGCTTGTATGTAATTATGACAATACATTGCAGTTTAAAACTTTAGCCATGGTTTCTAGGCTTCAATAGAAATCTTCCTGATTCTGCATCTTAAAGAAACAACTCATTATTTATGTTGCTTTTTCTAGCCTTGCCGAAAGTTAACAAAAATTCTTTAAACTTTACTTCACTATAAGCCAATCAAACTGAGCCTACCTAAAAACAGAAAGTTTTTCTTACCAAGAGATTTGATGGCGAATTCCACCTGTTTTCGTTGGAATCCCATCTCCATAATTCTGGTCACTTCTGGTAAAGGTGGAGGTACACTAGGTCGACTCTTCTTCAATTTAGGTTTCCCAAGAACCGTCGGCACAGCTGGATTCACAATTGGTATGACAGCTGGTGCAGGTAAGGGAGCTTGGTACGGTGCAACCTCACTGTCTGAGTCTGACTCATCAATCTCCTCCTCGAAGCAGTCTCTAGATGCTGTAAGATACTGACAGACGGACAAACAAGCCGCCTCTAACTCGTCACGACCAAATAAAGCTTTTAGCGGTGAGGGCTGCGTAGCAGACATTAAAAACTGTTGTAATATGGTGTTGGGTGATTCTCCCGTATCTGGTGAGTAATCATCGTCACTAGGGCTATTATCAACCTCGGCATGCTGGAGTTCCGGTAGTGTAACCTGGGTGAGGATTTTACGGAGGAAATTCTGGTGTTGCAAGAGAACTCGGCCGGCTCGTAACATACCAAGTTTGATCTGCTGCTTCCTCAAATCTGCCATGTCAACCCTTGTTCCTAGATAAAAGGAGAAGGAAATTAATGTATCAGTGTATATCTAAAATTTTTATAAAGAAGAGAAAATAACAACAGGTTCATACAGAAGCAATATGTGAAATACTGATCACTGCAGTAGGTTTAAGGGTTCTTAATGAATAATCAACTGATCACAGTTCTCTCCTATTTTGAACAGGATTTAAGCTAGTACATGTAACTAGAATGTGTCTTAAGTAAATATGATTTTCTAATACATTTTATATACAAAATCCCGAAATTATTAATTTGATAATAATAGCCTATAGTCATTATAACTTTTCTATAGAACAAAACGAAAAAGCTTACATACTGTTGAAATGGTGTTGAAAACAACCCCAGATATTTAACAATGCCAATGTCTAAAGCAAAATTTCTAAAATTTAGAAATACAAGATAATTTACCTTCAGACTCTACAGTGGTTGTACTTGTGGCCAGTGGTGCCTTGTCCGAGTCCCGACCATCTTTCTCCCCCTTGTATATGTGGCAGGCCAGGCACAACATCGTAGCCAGCATGTTCACAATCTCCTCCGACACGGACAACTTGTCCACATCAAACTCCAAACACTGTACCTGTAAAATATCATCTGTATTACTTCTAGTCTTTCTTTAAGTGCCCATTTCGTTATTGCCAAGTTGTGCTGAATTGACTTTATATTCCAAATGATTGACTGTAAAAATGGTGATTGACCAACAGTTGATATGAGAAAATGTTTAGAATAAAATATATATATGCCTAAAATATAAAAAGACTATCCCACTCTTTTTATAAATTGAATGTTTTGGGGAAATTTTCAATGGAATTTTAAAGAAATTTTTCAGGGCCAAGTAGGTTATTGATCCTTCATGCAAAGTAAATTATAAAATTGAAAGGAATTATGGCAAGATGTTAACTTATTTGACTTTCACCAATTCACTCTTTATATAGCCTTGGATGGGCATTATGTCACTTTAAATTATTCAAACTTCAGTAATTTCCAACGAAATATAAGGGCACACCTCTGACTTAGGGATAATGTTAACTTAACCCTTATCCTGCTAAATTTCTCATGTAGATTTGCCTGAATTTGGTTTCATACACTGTCCATTATCAATTTTGAGGATATCAAAATAAAAGTTTTAAGTTAGTCAGTAGTATTATTTAGGGCCTTGTAAGATTACAGAGAAGTACCAGCTGACCTGACTCTATACTAATGGCATAGGTCATTCATTTTCATTCTAGCATCTACCAAACACAAATCATGTACAAAACAAACATGAGATGCAGAAAATTGTCATATGTTATCATGTGTGTATCTATATACCCTTCGTTAGACACAGATTGAAATCTGGGTATTACAAAAAACCTTGACTAACTCAACATTTGTATGGATTATTATACTTTCTACAGTATTTAGTTACGGTGTGGGCAATTTTCAGTGATGACCCTTTGCCCCATAACAACAGAAACTTCTATAATTTTATAAATATATTTTATAATAATACTTACTGGTATGAGAGTATTCAGTCTGGATGATGTCACATTTCCATCATTCATCTGCACTAGAATCTTTCCACGAGGCGTTATCTTAGATATTGTTCCCATGCCAACATCGTCTATTTTAACCACACCTCCAAGGCGGGGCCTGCTGTCTACTCCACCAATTACTGCCAACATTGCCAGGACAGAGGCTTCATCTGTAGCCAATGATGGGTCATTCTAAAATGTTATAAAAGACAAAATGAAATATAGTTATTACAATTATAGTTAATAATTTCTCAAACAAAGAACCAAATCTAAAGTATAAATTGTCACAGACTAAACATGCAAGAACGAATTTATTTATAATTATTTTAAGGTGATCTTATTTAACTGTTTAAGCTAATGAAAACAATGCCTGTCAAGAAATTCAGATAGTAATGTCTCCTCTTAACAACCCACCTGTTTTGGTGCAAACAAAAAACAATTTACCACTCAAGTTGCTGCCACACATCTCCCTCAACTACATTAACCAAACAGTGCATGTACTGATGGCAGGTAAAAAATTGCTCCTTTTCTGTGCTATCCCAAAACACAACACTTAAGGTGGGCTGTGGTGGAAGGTATTGTAAAACTGACTGATGCATTATAAATTCCCACTAAAATCCTTTAAAATCATGCTTAAGTAAATATATGTAATGTCTATCTGAAATAACTGCAGGATATATATTATGTCAAGATACCTTAGCACCGACATGGTGGTCCAACATGATATGTGGCAAGGATCTCAGATGTTTCACCATCAGCTGATTGATACACACATTCCATGTATCTAGGGTGTGAAGCTTCCTTAGCAACAGAACAAGTTCCTCGGCAACAGTGCTAGTATACGATGCTGTCAAGGAGACAGGTGCTCGGTGACGTTGACGTCTTGGAGAATCCACTGAAAGATATGAATCACTTTTTATTACAATTAACATTACAGTTTCATTTACCTGGATCTGTTGGTAACAAAAGCACTATTAATATGGTGACATTCCAGCTTCCTTGTTGGATGCCGAAGATACCGAAAATGAATATCATAATTCTACAACTTCCAAACATCAAGGCAGTTGAAGACAACATTTGCCTCTCCTAGCTCTATTCAAGGTTCAGGCGAGTAACAAAACACATGTGTAAGTATCAACTTCCTATAGGAAACAACATAGCTTCCTTACAAACCAAATCATAATTTTTACACAGAACTTCATAGTACAAAGATTGCACATCGCAACTTATTTCAAGTCATTAAGAGTAACAAATGTAAAAATAGATTTATCTTAATATGACATAGTTCAATGATTATTTTACAAATCAAAATTGTGCCTCTGCATATAGATATGCAAAATTCTTATCTACCCTTTATATTTTCATTTACCAAGTGCAAAACTTTCATATTGCTCTAAATTCTAAATGAACCAAAATTTTCATAGAACACTTAAAATATGATTTGAACCCGGCTATGCTCTTCATACACTGAATAATTTCATTTCATAAACTGAGCCTGACACCAGTCAATATAATACAATACCTACTAATCTTGAAGATTTGAACCAACTCTATACTTACCATGTGGAACAAGTGTTGGGTCAGCTGAGCAGGAAACCAGAATGGATCCCAGTAAGTGTATAAGTCTATTAACAATGGTCTGGACCCTAGCTTCCTCTACATTTTGATCCCAAGATGGAAGTACAGTTCTCAAAAGCTTTATTGTCAGTATCTGTAATATAAAACGTTACACTAAAGGACATTTTGAAAACCATTCGAAAAGTATAATAAGAAAGTAAATAAGCATTAAAAAAAATCTTTATCAATGGCATATCTTGGATAGAAAGGTTTTCACCAAAAGCCTACCTTGACAAATCAAGAACAAGGAAAATCATTTCAACAATAAACCACCAACTTTAAACTATTTTAGTAGTTGATAATATTATACTTGGCTCTTGTACCTGTTTAGAAACATTGGCTTGTTTATGTGCTTTTTCTTCCTCCAAGATCTTCAGGAGAAGATCCACCCATCTCTGTGAACTGAGAGCTTGGCAGACTGTCGGTCCTGTTGCTATGCTACGAAGAAATCCCAGAGAACACCAGCTATAGTGTTGCTCGCAGGCGATCTGTACAGACACTGAATTGGCATCTTAAATAAATTCATATTACAAGATTTATGTATCATTTACTTTCTCAGTACTATTTATAACATTGCGTTTGGTAAGTACAAATTATAACAATCATAGCAAGCCAGCATATTTCCTAGTCCAAGCTGTAATGATTGACTATTCCAAACTTAAAGCAAAATAAGTGCATTTCACAGATGGAGAGATGCTTACATGTTTCATTGCTCATAATTTCAATTTCACACACACTTGCAAAAGTTATTTAACAAGAGCTGCCCTAAGACAGTGGGCACGACTATTCTATGTGCTTGACAGTAAAAAAAAGTGCATAACTCTTTTAAAAAGGTAACCCAGATTGGCCATCATGTAAGATAATCACTTGGAACAAACATGTGAAGTTTCAACCGAGAAGATTTGGAGATACCAACCTGCACGCAAAAACTTTACCTAAGTGTGACACTGACCCCTTGATGAGTACAACAGCTCTTTCTATTCTTCTAACAGTCCGATTGAAAATCATGATCTAACTGATATTATCAATTAATCACCTCTTCATATTGTCCTTCATGCAACATACATTTATTAGATTAGAATTTTTTAACAGGAATAAATTTGAAAATAACTCAACAAAATCAACATACTTAGTCCATAATTACATCCACAATCCACTATATTCCTCATCAGCCCACATAATGTACCTACAGCTTCTTTCTGTGTGGATTCTGAATGTATTCCTGTTGCCACGGATACAACCCTCAGTAAGGTCAATGTTGCTTTTCTTATCAAAGATGTTGGATGTTTACTTTCAGTTTTCTTTAAGTCTGAAACAAATAATCATATATTTTATAAAGTGATTAATGATTTTCAACAATCAGTGGAGAGAGTATATCATCTATAGATATGAAATTGTCTTTGTTAAAATATGCTTATGATCTGTTTGTCTATAATCTGTAATTATTTGACTGAAAAATAAGCTATGACAAGTTTTTGTTTTATGCTAATAAACACGCTGATAAATATGCAATAGAATAAATTAAAGTTACATGGTCCATTGAAATGTTATGGTTCCATGTAAAAATTATGTAATATTTATCAAAGTGGACTCCAATGACATGTGTGAGGCATGGCTTTATTACCATGTGTTAAAAGAAGAAAAATAACAACAAAATCACTAGAATTATTAACCTTTATTTGGTGCTAATTCTTCATCATCATCTTCATCATTGTCGGGCATCTCAGGAGGTTCTGCTAGTTTTTAGGTCATACTTCCCTTCCTTCCCCCATACGGTAACTATTGGTACTCACCAGAATCCCACTGTACTCTTATCCAGCCATCATTGCCTAGTTCACCAATTACACGACCCATACTGGGCGGTGGACCATCCTTAATAAATATACAGTGAAAGTAAAAATTTCAGTACTTAATACTCTCTAAAATACAATTATCTACTTTCATTTATAGGAAGCACTATTTAAAAAGACATATGGTTAACAATTAACTTGAAGTTTACTAGAACATAACAAATTCATAGAGTAAATCTGAAGAAAGTTATAAAGAGTCATCATTTGTGTTCCGTATTTAAAGATAAGTTAGATTCACAGCTTAAAATTCCCAATCATAGGTACCTGATCACCCCATTTCCAGTCCACACCTCTCACCACTCTTGTACCTATCTTCATAAGAGCCGCAAGTTCCGGACCTGAGACCGGTACCGGGGCAGCCTGCTTCTTGTGCTTCTGTTCCTCAAGTACAGCACATATCGTAGAGCTGCTTGTGTCCTGTAAAACACGCTCCGGATCTGGACCTAGAAATAAAACAAATACATAGAGTAAGCACCTAACAATAGACCATATTATAGATACATTCCAATATTTAGCAGCATTTAATATTTCAAGCAATGTAAATGGATATGAAATTTAGGTTTCACACCAGAACATCTCTGTTAAGTTTAAAGCTGCCCAGGTGTAAGAAGACTACAGGTGCCCCATAAAAGTATTATTTCAAATAGCATTAAATAACACTAACTGAATATCGTTTTAAGTGGCATTATGCTCATTTTTTTTACTGTCAATCTGAGTTAAATTAGTTGTGTATTTAAAAAATTGACTATTTTAATGGTGATTGAAAAATAATTGGCACTTACCACTTCTTAGGTGGGCATAATGTCACTTTTACAACTACACAACATTGGTTGTAAATCATCATTTAATAGATTTTGTAAACACATTTAAGGAAACAACTTACCTATAAGTCTTAGAATACTCTGTGTAAGAGCTAGAACCCCGGAGTTCAGCAGCAGACTCAGGCTGTTTCCTTGATGCTCTGATACCAACAGTCCAAGGTGAGCAAGTATGAATCTTGCCTGAGGCAACACACCTAGGTTCAATTTCTCCTATAACAAATAAACAATGGTAACTATGATTCAAAACCAAGAAAAATAGTCCTTTCATTTATTTAAAATACCATTATATTTAAGATAATAAAGCTGCACTTTAAACATTTTTTCAATGATGCATCTATAGTGTACTTACTTTATGTTATGTATGCACAACTTAAACAATTGCAAATCCCAGCAATAATGTTTTTACAGAATCACAAAAGCGGCACAAGTATTAGATATAGTTCTTAAAGAGATTTAAGAGCACCGCATGCTGGGTTAACGCCTGTCTGTTAAAGATTCTTAATTCAAAGGGTCATAATTCCAAAATTATTGCTTTCAGCATTATGCCCGTCTGTCTAACAACTGCAACTTATCATGATAAGCAAATAATCCAAGTTTAACTTTTCAAATGTTTGAATAATGGGCTACATTTGAAGTTTATTGCACAACAACGAAAATAATGAATTAGCAGCTATCATAAGAGCTCAACTTTTTTTATAAACAGACAAGTTAAAAAGATGTCAGCTGCATTATTATAGTCCAAACAAGGTGCTGAATACAACTGATAATCTTTTGTAAGCCAACTGAATGGATTTCTCCAATTAAAGAATTTGATGCCCTTAGTGGACTAGGAGTCCACAGCTTTAGGAGGCATTTGATTTAAAGACAAGGGCCATAACCACTCTGCCTTAGAGGGCCCCATCAGAAGTCTAAATTAGATAAAATGAAAGGTCTTTTTGCTGACAGAGATACAATAACCTACCTTTGTGTTATCTTGGCTGTTTTGACTTAATTGACATGGATTAACTCCCTTGGATTTAATTGTGATATCCACCTGTAGAACATTGTGTCTTAATTCCTGTATAGACCAGCGGTACAGCTCAGAGAATGTCATCTGCAGAAGTATACGGTCACATGGTGGAATCAGTGTGATGTCGGTTAGACACTGTGGTACAGGTTTGCTGTAAAGATACAGTAGAAATGTCAGTTAGACACTGTGGTACAGGTTTGCTGTAAAGATACAGGAGAAAATGTAGATTAGAAACTGTTGTACAGGTTTGGTGTAAAGATATGGGAGAAATGTAGGTTAGACACTGTGGTACAGGTTTGATGTAAAGATATGGGAGAAATGTAGGTTAGACACTGTGGTACAGGTTTGCTGTAAAGATACAGGAGAAATGTTGGTTAAACACTGTGGTACAGGTTTGCAGTAAAAATACAGGAGAAATGTAGGTTAAACACTGTGGTACAGGTTTGCAGTAAAAATACAGGAGAAATGTAGGTTAGACACTGTGGTACAGGTTTGCTGTAAAGATACAGGAGAAATGTGGATTAGACACTGTGGTACAGGTTTGCAGAAAAAAATACAGGAGAAATGTAAGTTAGACACTTTGGTACAGGTTTGCTGTAAAGATACAGGAGAAATGTGGGTTAGACACTGTGGTACAGGTTTGCAGAAAAAATACAGGAGAAATGTAAGTTAGACACTTTGGTACAGGTTTGCTGTAAAGATACAGGAGATATGTAGATTAGACGCTGTCGTGCAGGTTAACTATAATAATAAAGTAGAAAATAGTTTAAAGCTTTTAAGCTCCATGCCTCCAGATAAGCCAAAATATTTCAAGAAAATCAACTTTGAGAAGATTTTAAGAAAAGAAAAAGGATTCAAGTAATAATTTACAAGTTATGGGCAATTAATGACTGATTTTGCACTATTTATCACCATATTTCTACTGTGTGACTAATGCAATACAGGCTAATTTTGAAAAATTTCACCTCTTTTAAGTATTTCGTTGACTGCAAGTACCATTTGCTATGTGAAAATTATTTTCTTTTTTTAATTCATAATATTTTACTCTTAAATACATTTTCAAATTTTTATGAAAATTAGTAGGAATCTGGAGGTATACTGCTTAAAACTCTAGTAAACATCAGGAAAAGGAGAAATGCCTTGTAATGAAAACACATGTGTACAAATATACAGATTAACTGATAAAATACTGCACTTGTCAGACACTGTGGTACAAAAGCTAATTATAAGAAAAAAGTTATTTGTAAACAGATTCATTCAAGTAAGTCATCAGAAATCACAAAAAGTGTGGGTTTTTTTGGGTTTTTTTTTCAGTTGTAGTTTTTTTCTCTCAAAATAAACTGCATATGTCAAGGTATTTGCTATATAAAACATTGAAAGAGTAGCTGTACGTGGATAAAATCAACCTGTTATAAATGAAAAACTGTCTTTATATAGAAGTTTGACTAGTGTATACATACCAGACCCTATGACCTGCGGTGAGCAGACCCTGCCAGCCACACAGCAGGTTAAACTTCACTGATGGAATCAAATGGTCCCTATGAACCAGTGCTAGCATAGTCTGTATACCTTTTAGACGAGTCTCAGCTCTCCTAACCTGTTATATAATCAAAATTTCATGTTAATATTCATATTTACACACTACGACACAACCACGTAAAATATATAGCCCTATTTCTTGTCTGTTCATTTTGAGTATGTTTATCTAATCATAAATTTTTTTCATTGAGTTTAAAGTTAAATCAACACTGTTATGATCATAAAGCGATCTTCTCAGCTTTACTGGCACATAAAGAAGTAAAGTGCCTTTCAGTATATTATTACAGGAACTGGCAGTGGCAGACACCCCCCGAGTTAAACCGCATACTTTCAGTAAACTCCTTGAGTAACTTCCGTTCTCACATGAAAGAATACTAAGTCCATGCCTGGAATTGAACCTGTAGTAGTTGTAGGATTCTAAGTGATAAGTGAACATACAACAGAAGCTCTTGATTTGTTCAAAACCAATATAAGTCAATAAATCTTAGCAAAGATGCAACATTCATCGTGAATTAAGCAAAAGTAGCCATTACTTCAATATGAAATTTCTAAATATTTACAAGAAAGCAATCCTGGAACAGACTGAGGAATGGCTTAATACTTATTTTCTCCCCAAGCAAATCATTGCAATCTGTCCAGTCTACAGGGGGATATAGGCTAGAGATGGCCCAGCTAATTGATGTTCAACTGTAACAGATCAGAATATAAGACAACCACTCACCTGATGGTGTAGAGACCTTCTAAGTTTCTCTATATCAATGGGATTTTCATGCATGACAAATTCTACAATTTTGTTGACCAGTGGCATCTCTGTTCGAGACCCAGTGAGGCGTTGACGAAGCCAGCTCAACTTTTGACTACTGGTCACCATACTGACCAGTGAATCCCAGGAATCTTTCTGCAATGGTCAATTAAGTAAATGAAGTATATGTCGTTATAATATATTTCTAATTTCAGTCTCTTGTTTATTGAAATCTTTTAAAAAAATAGATCTGGAAATTAAAATACAAAAATCCATAACTTTCCTCAAATTAAATAACAATCTATTGCACAAAGTTTATTGATCACCAGGAGATACTTATTTATTAATTGTTTTCAGGCAATTTTCTCAAAATTAATGTAAATATTTACCATACTTGAAATGAAATGTTCTGTAATGTTAAGCACATTAAAATAATTTTGAAAATATATCAGCTCACAATATATAAAACATGATTGTCAAATTTCCATTTCAGGATCCTAAAATTACATATCAACTGGATGTGGAAACAATCATTAAAATGAATATCAGCAAATTACCATAGATGAAATTGTCCTTAAATGAATTAAAATAACCAAATATAGGGGCAAGAAAACTGGTATCAAGTATTTGACCAACCTTTCTCCTACTTTTTCCCTGTTTCTTTTTATAATGTCCAGCATGTCCACTTCCTTCCATTGGGGGAAGACCTTCCACGTCAGCACTTCCATCTACCAACTCAATGTCATGTTCTTCTTCTAAAGAATCCCCTAGTGGAGCCTCATTCTTGCCAAACACTTTCACCACAAATTCCCCTGGTTCTGATTGGACCTCACTTCCTTTAGCTCCACCTCCTGAACTGTCAGTGCTGCCACCTGGGGCTTCTTCTGATTGGCTCCCTAGTAGAAGCTGACCTTCACTTTTCCCACCTTCACTTTCTTCTGGGACTGACTTTTCAACATCACCGACATTCAACGTTACCACCACTGGTGAAACTAAAATAAAACAATAACCACATGGTACTGAATAAATTGAAATGATAAACATTATATTCCAAAAATAATTTCAAGCAGATATTATGAAAATATGATTGCCTTTTCTTCAGTTTTCATATACTCTAACTCTCCAATGACATATACATAAAATCCTACCTGCATTTTGAAGAGAAAATGTTACACAAAATGTGTACAGATTAAAAAAATAATCATGAGCCCTACCTAACTTAACTTTTCAAAATACTCCTTTTAAATAAATCCATTTTTTTAAATATCATAATAATGTACAATTCATGCAGTAAATTGATATCATAATGATAATGAAGATGGAAAAATATGAGCTAAAAGTATTCTTTTTTTTAAAAAATCATTACTTCTCTTCCTGTTTTCCTCTATAACTTTATTAATGGCCATTTTCCACCTAGATGTGCTGTGTAGAAGTTTTGACCGGCTCATAGCATTCACTTCATTCCCAATCGCAGGTCGTAGTTCATTAAATAGGAAGTGACATCGCTCTATGACAGGGGCACAGACCTCTTTATAGGATCTGCTCTGATCTTGATGGGCCTAAAATATGCAAATAAATATTTACAACTACATACAATGGAATGCGTTAATCAATTCTATATTCTCTGTATTTCAAAAAAATAACAAATGAACTTGTTTGATTTGCTTACAAGTCTGTATGTGTGACACCATTTTATTGAAGATATATCAGGCAAACTAAAACATTCTATGACAAACGGGGACTTTCAGTATTAATGTTAAACCACAAGTGCCTTTTTGTTTATCATTTTGCATTGCAGGACTTGTGTAAAACCAGCAACTTTCCATCACCTACATGTAGATATCTATCTTTTATTATCAAAGGAATAGTGTCGAAAAGTTTTTGTCATAAAGGAGAGAAAGGCATGTGATATTGAGTTAGGCACCTAAGCCACTTGGCAAATACAATCAATATTTTTAAATCTTTTCAACATTAAAATTATAAGTTGACTATGTGTGACAGGAGAATGGACAAACCACAAACTATATGCTCCATCAAATACATATAGTTTCAAGAATCATAAAATTCCACACAGAGATATGTAATTATAAGTAAGACAAGCCTTATATACCTTTATAAGTGATCGTTTTACTTGTCCTACAACTCGTAGCAGCTCTATAATAGCCTTTGGGAATGTTAATTTCCCAGCATCCCCTTGTCCGTGCTCTATAAGGCCGAGTATAACGTGAGCCAAATCATGATGCTTTATCAACACTGCCAGAAGTAACCTGTAATTGAATCATCAATAAATATTAACACATTTTTTTGAAAATTTCTCTCATCAGAACTGAGAACACTATGAATATCACATTTCTAGCTTTACAAGTAAAAAAATTGATCTGTCCAGCTTCCATTTCCTTAATTTACAAATGAACCTGTCTGGTTTAGAAACTGTACATTATATTTTTTTGGGGGTTGAGTTTTACATGGCACCAACACAGTATAGGTTATATGGCCACTTTCCAGCTTTACTGGTGGAGGAAGACGTCAGGTGCCCTTCAATGCATTATTATCATTTCAGGCATGAAAGGGCACCTGAGTAGAACAACCCACATTTGGTAAGCTTGCTAAAATTTAAGGGTATCATGACAGTCAGCACACAGTATAGAACTTGGTCAGAATGCATGGAAGTGCAGGCTGACTTGGCTCTATACTGATGCCAAAGGCTTGCCACCTTTTGTTTCTGCAGGTAAAGTGTTAAAATGATATCATAGAAGTAAAACAAAAGGGCCATGATGGCCCTGAAGTCGCTCACCTGTATATAGGCCCCGGAGCCGGGCCAATTTAAACCCCAGGGCTTTTATTTGAAAAAACCTGATAGACTACCATTAGAAAATGTTTCATGCTTAATATCTAAACTCCAGCTATTCGGGTTTTTTCAAAGAAGATTTTTAAGTTTTTGCTATACACATATAAGGAAAATTTTGACCCCAGAGCTCTTATTTGAACTTGGTAGACATCCATAAGAACATGTTTCATGCTAAATATCTTATCTCTAGCTCTTTGGGTTCTTTAAAAGAAGATTTTTTAAAGTTTTTACTACATTGTATATGCATATAGGGAAAATCAATGACCCCCTGGGGCGGGGCAAATTTTGACCCCCAGAGTTCTGCATGGAATTAAATTCTTTGAACAATTTTCAAAGGTGACCACCAAAGGAACATTCCTGTGAAGTTTGGATGAAATTGGCTTAGTGGTTTATGAGGAGATGTCATTTAAAGTAAAACTTTACGAATGCCGAACGGACAGACGACAGACAGATGCCGGACAAAAAGCGATCAGAAAAGCTCACCCTGTCACTTTGTGACAGGTGAGCTAAAAACAAACTATAAATAAATACGTACCTTCCAACTTCTTCAACTGGATGCTCAGGTGCGAAGTCTATGGGTAAACTGATATGATGTTGTTTGGAATATCTCTCAGCCATACTAAGGAATGTCTTCACAGCCAGGTCCTGACATTTACCCTCCACCATAGCCTGCAGGAAGGGCCTCGATACATCTGAGATAGATGCCTGACGGTCAAACAGGGCCTCTTTATCTTCTATGGCAGAACTAGTCATCTCACAGGCACTGCTTGTTGCACCAGCTCCTATAAAAACATATACAGATAATATACTATTGTTTACTTTTTTTAGAATTTACAAATTAATTTCTTATTGAAACACTCTCGGAACTGTTCCTGGAAGCATTGAGTATAAAATTTCTTGCTCACCAAAACAACCAAACAGGGCCAGCAATCATAAGATCACTAGTCTGACATGTTTACCACTACAACTGTTATAGGTCAAGAAGAAACAAGACTTTCAAGGCCTCATAGTAGAGGAAGATTCCTTTCTGTATTGTATCTATATTACCAGCAAGCATCTGGCAAAAGGGCCTAGATCGTCAATAATCAAGCCAACTCCTTTGATAAAAAAAAATAATTGTCAATTGTAGAAGTGTGCAGCCATAATCATTTAGCAATATAACAATTTGAAGATCTATATTCATCAAAATTTTGCATGTTTTGTTGTTGTTTTTTTGGCATTTTAGACAGAGAGACAGATAATTTTTTCCATTTCTAAAAATGTATTTACAGATAAATTATTCATACTCTTGTCCAAGATTAATAATGGCACCTCAAACTTCTAAAATAGACTGTCATTTACTCAATTGGAGTTAACCAACCTGGTGTTGTGGTCACACTAGATGACCTACTCTCTCCCTTCTCCTCCTCAAACGGATTCCTGGGTTGTAGTAACTGCAGGCCACCACGGAAGAAGTCTGAGCTGAGCCAGTCACTGCACTCAAGTTCATCCTGTGATAGTGGTGTGCTTCGTGCCTGCTGTGCAGCGTGCAAACCTAGCAGAAGACTGAGGGTACGCTCAGTGTCCATCAGGGGCGATGACGCTGTACTTGTGTCCATTAGCTGAATTATGTCTTTTTCAGGCTGAAAATTTAACATTGCAAAAGATAAATTTCACTGTTTAACTAAATATACAAAAAAAGTTTTGACAAAGCCAGTTATTTTTGGGAAAAGAATCATTTCTCTAAAATTCTTGAAAAAAATAACTTTTCATCTAATGACAATCAAATGTTAATCTTTTTCCCCAATTCTAAAATTCATTTCACTTTACTGATATGACACCTTTAAGATTGATTAAATTAAAATCTAATAACTCTAATTTGTACATTTATTTAATGATTAGCCTAGCTCCAAAGTTTCAACAGACTTTTGCTAATTTTTGTAATTTTAAAGATCAAGAAACGTAAACTGCACAGCACATCATGAAGCCGGAAAAGATAGCACAGTCCAGTGCTCTTTTTTAAAATTTCCCCTGCATTTTATATTGCACCAACGCAGTATAGGTCATTTGGTGACTCTTCAGCTTAATTTGGTGAAGGAAGACCTCAGAAGCCCATCTGTGCATTATTTAAGGCACAGATTTGTCACTTGAGTGAAACCACTGATGTTTGGTAAGCTTCCTGGATAGCTTCCTCACATGAAAGAATCTAAAGTCCCTGCTACCACTATGATGACTACTTTGACCTGTCCTTACCTCTACATACTGTCCAACATAAAAGGCATGCAACATCTCACGAGCTTCTATAGAATGATGAGCATTTTCAAAAGCTGCTGTGGCATCCCGACCAGCGTACTCCGTGAGCACCTCCCACCCACACCGTGCCTGTGTCTTGAAATCGTGAACGTCATAAACCTTGCCATGGATTATGATCCACAATCCACCATCTTTGTTATGATTCTCAAGATCAGCTTTACGTATTGTTTGTACATCATCCTGGCTCTTGTGGCTAATCTTGTCTAATGAATGACCTGCAATATAAATACTGGTATGTTAAATTATATAGAAATTCAATGTTTCAGTTTTAATTCATACTAAAAACGATTAAAATTTAAACGTTTTTTTTACCATTCTGTAGCTTATATAATTTAGGGCTATCATTTAACTTCATAAAAAATATAAAATTTTGTCAGGCAAGTGGCCTAGAATCAACATTCACTTACTCCAAACTCCCGGCCATGACAGATCTTCCCTATCCTCCCTGCCAAGACCGGGTGCCAGTCTGTTATATTTATCCAGAATATCTAATACTTGTTCTAGGATAGGAACCGATCCAGACATCTGAACTACAGCCGGGCTACGGAGTTGTAGCAGAACCATACAGGTTAACATCTCAGGTAACAGAACCCCTGAAAATAGCAAATAACAGTAGGTTTAATGACATAAATGTAGTTCAAAACTAAAAATACATGAGATGGATCACCCTTTCTGTGCAAGGGGGTACATATTAACATATCACTATCATGAAGAGGTCTGTTTGCTTCAATATGAGTAGACATTTCACAATGTTTCAAATTTGATTTTTTAAAAAAAAACATTTTTTTCTCAATTAATAAATTCTTTTATAAGTTCAAGGTTTGAAATAAATATATTCATATACAACTTCGTTCATTTATCTACATACATTTTTTTCTTCGATTTTCTCAAGTCAAACAAAACCTATTAAAGCCACATGAGGACTCTCCATCTGTAAATCTGATTGTCTATGTGTACTAGGAATATATTGAGGGCACATGAAAAGAACTATCATATAAGCTAGCTAGTCTGGGTTTGAAGCCACAGCAGAACTAAACCACTAGGCCGCAAAAATATCATAGGTTTTGTAAACTGTTACACTGTATTTATACAATTACAACTCTGGCAATGAAAGGTGTAAGTCTGATTAAGACAGGAACTGTTACCAAAAAAATATTTAAATCTTCAGACATATATAAATTTTCTCCCTTTAATATAGAAAAGTTAAAATGTAAGGTTATCTAATATACAAACCTGTTACATCACTGGTGATAATTTTCGAGACTAGAGAGAAATGTTTAGAGCTGATATTTGCCAAACTGGCCCCTAGGGGCAGTATATCATTGACATGGTTACATAACAGGGAGGTGTACTTCTTCAGCAGGGAACCTGCTCCTTGAAGGGTGAAATCTGAAAAAGATATGCATCAATTATGCTAAAAATCAATATTTTTTAAAATTTTGTGAATAGGTATGAATATTTCTTTCTTGCATGGGTTTAAAGCAACAGAAACATTGTTAAGATGAAAAGGTGACTCTCAAGTTTTACCTAGCTATCCGGTTAGCAGGTATTTTTAGAACGCTGGACTGTGAATCGGGTGATCAGGGTTCAATTCTCGGACAGTGCAGACTTGGGACTGATCAAGAAATCCTCTGTATTGTCATTTGCACTGTACCTCTGCTCTGGTATGTACAGAAGTTGTTGGTTCCTTGTGAAAGCTAAGGTACTAGTACTGGTTATCTGCTTGACAGCCTGCCCAGAAATCACCGGGTGGCGTAACTTTGACTTACTGCTGTGATCCGGGGGTAAACTACCAAAACCACCACCATCATTTCAAGATTTACTGGTAGAGGAAGATCCAGATATTTTTTCAAATATTATGTAAACAGCTTTCTTCTATGATACAATTTAAAACCTCAAAAACCATAACCAGTTTACCATAAAGTCTCTAATATTGATTAATCTCAATTTTGAAATCTGTATATATATATATATAATATATAGCTCACATATCTACTGTAAATTTGGAACTACTGTTCAAAGATTACAGTTATAATCATTCAGCTTTAAAGTTATTAGATTAACTATTTAAGCTGATCTTAATACAGAGTTCTAAGTAGTAATTAATGTATTTTAACATATCATGGAAATTTTATCATCTTTTACCTAAATCAGTTGGTGAGGCCAGACAACAGTTCTGTTTGGGAAACATTTTGGCAATGAGTAACCTCTGGAACTGTAAAAGTAGGTCAAGTGATGGCGATGTGTCCTTCATTACCGTCTCCTCCATCTTCACGACACCATCCCGGGATAACTCATGTAACAACGACTGGGAATGTGATGAAGAGTTCCTGTTTAAAAAAAAGTTCAGATATGAAGTTACAATAAAACTTTCAAATGGAATATTTGTTAATTGGTTAGGTTCATTTCATAGATTGTAACAATATCTAAGCACACAAAAAAGACCATCTTAAACAAATAAATTAGTACATCAGGGCTCACACTGGCTCAAATAAAATAATAGCCAATATTTTTAACTTAAAATAATAATAGCCAAAGGTTCAGCGGACTATTCACGATTTAGCGATTAACAACATAAGCAGTTGATTAAATAAACATTACATATAAACCTTTTTCAGTTTAATAAGGATTCTCAAATAAACTGATACATTTGTGTATATATTGATAACTACCTTTTTTTTTTAAATAGACCCACAACTTAAATTGTTATTATAGAACAGAATAAAAATGTTATGTATATCAATAATATTCAAGATTCATTATGAATTTACATAATGCTATTATCAGACAATTTCTTTTGTTTGTTCTAATCAAATTTTGTCAGCTATAACCCCTGTCAATTTCCACATTTCACACAGAACTGGAGTAGATCTAGGTCATATAAGCCTATAAAAATAACACTTGCAAACTCATTCACAGAATGCAGCCTTTTTTCTGAATAACTTACTGAAAAATGTCATCATTACCAATGTAATACAAATTTTCTGCCACAATAGTAAAGATTTTTAAACAAAACATAGCTTATTTTCACCTTTAAATAAATATCAAAATTATTGGTGTCGCGAAAACATGTGACAATCGGATTTTTTCCTGTTTTCTGAAGAAATACTCACAATTTTGATTGTTGTGCAAATAGTTGTTGGGAAGTTAATACTTTTTAAATATTTTATCATTGTTTTCCACTGGCGATTTAGTCAAGTAGCTTAAAACAAAAAAAATTCAAAATTTGCCATTACTGCAATTTAATTAGTACGGTAAATTTCCCGTAAATTTTGGGTTGGTCAATATCCAGTTTATCAATTTTAAGACGATCTTTTTGGCTAATTGACAGATACTTAATGGCTATTATAATGCTGGACAATATCTTTAAAGTACTTATACAATTTTACATCTCGCATGTATTTTTATCACCTCGGGCAATATGGTAAGCAGCACGTGACCGATAAAAAGTTGACAATCAAATCCACCCCGCTGGTGTTAATTGGGTCTACTGCATTCTTTATCGATTTTTACACCTTATATAACATATATATATAACATGATAAACACTGTTGGAAGTAAAAAATAATCGCCAGATTTTGTAGCCAAAATGCAAAAATAATCGCCAATCTTATAAAATAATCGCAAATGGCGACTATGGCGACCGACAGCGTGAGCTCTGGTACATGTAGTTCTATCCTGTATCTTGCTGAATCTTTATAATGTACTTGTCCTGATTTTATTTTGTTTATTATAGGAATAAGCATATAAAACCAGGAAATGTTAGAAGCCAACAAAAAACGGTCCTGCCAGACCACACTGATATAGATTTATTTAGATGGCAACTCATTATTAACACGAAAATAAAACAAAACATATCTACACAGTACAACTTCTACAGAGTAACACCCTTTGGTAGGCAAAGATTTTATTTGTTGCTGAGGGTTGGTTGGTCACGAGAGGTTAAATTTAGGGTTAAATCCTACTTTGGGAAGATCTGAAAAGGGTTACTGGTCTACAGGGGGCCATTCTGTAGAGATTACACTGTATTGTATGAATTACCTAAGTAACTGTTGAATAAGTTGAAGTAGTGGAATGCTAGCACTGGAGTCCTCCTCTATATCGGTGCCGGGTTCAAGCTTCGTTTCGCTAGATGCCTCAGAGTCTGGTGTTTTCTGGTCCTCTTTCTCCTCTGATTCCTATGTTTAACATTGATAAATGTACATGTATAGTTTATTATCATAATGCAATGAGAATCACTGTAAAATTTGTGTAACTGTGATCTTAAATAATCTCTTTTCCTTAAATTCAATGGACATGCATTTATATATTCAAAATTAAACTTCTTAAAATTCTGCCTCAGCAAAAATATTGTATCCACAAAAAAATTAAATGAATATCACTCTTTGTCATTTAATTCTCTTAATAATAGCAAAATGAATAATCTCTGTGGATCAATTTTTAACATTCAAAAATAATCAACATAATTAAATTATTTATTTGAAAAAAATGCCTAAATTAGACTTAAATTGTACTGATAAAATTAAAATAACACCTCTCCAAACAAAATACACTTTTACTCAGAATTTTATATCTTTCAAACCTTTTTCTCTTCAAATGTCTCCTTTTCTTTCTTGATTGCTTCCTCCATGGCAAACTCTAGTCCACCGTCCGCCATCAGACTGCTCACCAGGAGGTCAGTCATAAATCTTTGACCAGCACTCATACCTGAGGCATCTCTCCCTGCTTGAAACATGTCAAAAGTTACAATGAGTTGTATCATTTCATGCATAAGCCAGATTTGTTTGACTTTAATTCTTTAAGCTTTTCCTGTACCCTGTCTTATAGGTCAAGAATATATCATTCATCGGCACATCATAGAATTACATACCCAATGCCAAATAAGTGGTAAATTAACAGTTTGATGATAATACTATCAAAATTTTGAGATACTAAAATTTTCAATATAATATATAGCCTTTGACAACAAACCCTACTTACAGCAGTATGGATCTATATGAATTTCCAGCATTGCTTGAAATTGCTCATTAGTTTAAGAATTCTCAGAATATTTAAAACGAAAAACCTTATGTCAAAGCATTACATGTACAGTGGAACCGGCCTAATCCGAACCAGAAGAAAAGTTCGGATTGAAAAAGGTTTCCAGATTAGAAAGGGTTCCGAATTAGAAGGGTTTTTTTAACATGTTTTTTCATGTTATTTGCAAGATAGTTTAAGGAAAAAAAAAATGGAATGCATTTAAAATTGCAATTTAGATATTTTATTTTTGCAGTCTCTTAGTCTTATCGTTCATTTTAATACATGTGAATAAAAAAATAAAACTAGAACTGCCACTATCTTGGCGTGAATACCCCCGCATACCACTTTGTCAGAATCAACAGTGGCCATTTAGAGCGCAAGGACAACTTCCCTGCCAAATCTGAGGTTACTAAGCCAGTGCATTGCTAAGTTATGTATTCTACATGCTTCAAATGTGAAAATGTCAAAATCAATACATTGCAGACAGGACATTCTTTAGCAATTGAGAAGAAAAGCTTTTTTTTTACCCAGTGACCTCAAAATCAATAGGGGTCACCTTATAGTCATGATCAACATCCATGCCAAATATGAAGACTGTGGGTCAAAGGAATCTTAAGTTAATGGGTGGACAAACTTTTTGAAGTCAAAGTCCCTATGACCTTGACCTTTGATCCAGTGACCTCAAAATCAAAAGGGGTCATCTACTAATCATGACTAACCTCAATGCCAAATATGACGACTGTGGGTCAAAGGAATCTTAAGTTATTGGGTGGACAAACTTTTTGAAGTCAAAGTCCCTGTGACCTTGACCTTTGACCTGGTGACCTCAAAATCAATAGGGGTCATCTACTTATCATGACTAACCTCCATGCCAAATATGACGACTGTGGGTCAAAGGAATCTTAAGTTATTGGGCGGACAAGCTTTTTGAAGTCAAAGTCCCTGTGACCTTGACCTTTGACCTGATGACCTCAAAATCAATAGGGGTCATCTACTTATCATGACTAACCTCCATGCCAAATATGACGACTGTGGGTCAAAGGAATCTTAAGTTATTGGGCGGACAAGCTTTTTGAAGTCAAGGCCCCTGTGACCTTGACCTTTGACCTGGTGACCTCAAAATCAATAGGGGTCATCTACTAATCATGGACTAACCTCCATGCCAAATATGACGACTGTAGGTCAAAGGAATCTTAAGTTATTGGGCGGACAAGCTTTTTGAAGTCAAGGCCCCTGTGACCTTGACCTTTGACCTGGTGACCTCAAAATCAATAGGGGTCATCTACTAATCATGACTAACCTCCATGCCAAATATGACGACTGTAGGTCAAAGGAATCTTAAGTTATTGGGCGGACAAGCTTTTTGAAGTCAAGGCCCCTGTGACCTTGACCTTTGACCCAGTGACCTCAAAATCAATAGGGGTCATGTACTAATCATGACTAACCTCCATGCCAAATATGACGACTGTAGGTCAAAGGAATCTTAAGTTATTGGGCGGACAAGCTTTTTGAAGTCAAGGCCCCTGTGACCTTGACCTTTGACCCAGTGACCTCAAAATCAATAGGGGTCATGTACTAATCATGACTAACCTCCATGCCAAATATGACGACTGTAGGTCAAAGGAATCTTAAGTTATTGGGCGGACAAGCTTTTTGAAGTCAAGGCCCCTGTGACCTTGACCTTTGACCTAGTGACCTCAAAATCAATAGGGGTCATCTACTAATCATGACTAACCTCCATGCCAAATATGAAGACTGTAGGTCAAAGGAATCTTAAGTTATTGGGCGGACAAGCTTTTTGAAGTCAAGGCCCCTGTGACCTTGACCTTTGACCCAATGACCTCAAAATCAATAGGGGTCATCTACTTATCATGACTAACCTCCATGCCAAATATGAAGACTGTGGGTCAAAGGAATCTTAAGTTATTGGGCGGACAAGCTTTTTGAAGTCAAGGCCCCTGTGACCTTGACCTTTGACCTGATGACCTCAAAATCAATAGGGGTCATCTACTTATCATGACTAACCTCCATGCCAAATATGAAGACTAAGGGTCAAAGGAATCTTAAGTTATTGGGCGGACAAGAAAAAACCGACGGACGGCCGGACGGCCGGACAGCCGGACGGACGGACGGACGGACGGACAAGCTGATTCCAGTATACCCCCCTTACAACTTTGTTGTGCGGGGGTATAATAATAAATAAGTAAACATATTATGTCCTCAAGGGTAAGTTAATATACGATGTTAAACAGGAGGCCGAGACATGATTAAATATTCGTGCCAGCATTTGTCAATTGTTGTTTACTCTTATCCGATTCAGCAACTATCCGAATTCACTGACAGTTTCCATTAATTTCCGTTACTTAATTACGTATCATTGAATCCATTACAAAGAATTAAAAGATATTTCTACTGCATTATATCAAAATATTTATAGAAACTGACGAAAAACAATCAATTAAGCAATTAAAGAAGATATCAAGGCAAGCTAAGTGTAATTTTCACACCTTCGCAGATCATACGTTTCACCCATTAATCAAGCGAAATAACACTTATCAGTATGGTTAATACTAACACCTGCACGATGTGCGATTATTTGTTATTTTGAATAAAGGTGTGACATTTGGCAAAATCTGTTCGGATCCGCGAGGTAAATTTTAGAGTAAAATAAGAACAAAAATTGAAAAAATCGTCCGGAATTCAGAGTAGACAGGTTCCGAATCCAAACGTTTTTTTTACTATTGAAAATAGAACAAATAAAATCGGGACTGGACACTTCGTTCGGATAAGAAAGGATTCCGGACTAGAAGGGTTCGGATTAGCAAGGCTCCACTGTATAAGCTAATTTCTTGTAAGTATCTATTACTTTGGATCCTGATGCTACAAAATAGATGTCAAAGAATATTTCTTTATTTCTAAAATTTATCTAAATTCACACCAACTCTTCTCTTTATCTAAAAATGATAAATGTAAACACTATACCTCCTGAAGAGAGTAATGAAGATAGAGCTCTAGCCCTCTCCTCAGCTGTAGGGAGGAGAATCGACCAGCCATTCTGTAATGTATTCTGGGCTGCCATCTGTACAGTGGAGATAACTCCGCTATTACTGGCAAGGGAGACAACTCTCTTCTTCAAGCTGGTAACCAGAGAGCTGCCGGCTCCTAGCCCAAGTTGTTCAAAGCTCTCATTGTGGGAAATGGCAACATGGAGCTGCAACAAAAACAATAGTTGTTAAATCATTATTTTTTAATATGTAAACAAAGAATTCAAACTGAACAGTAGCTAATCAGCTTATCAGCTTTAACAAGTTCCTCTCTTTCTTTTAACTATGTTTTTTGATACTACTTTTAATGTTTAATTATAGACTTTTTAGCTCAATGATCCTCAGCAAAATACATCCCATTCATAAAACCCTTCATACATATATTCAATGTCATACAATATATGATATGTAAATGATATTATCAATTTTAAAGCAGACATTCCATTTGTCCATACAAAATAGGGTTTTGATTGAAACTATACTATTTACATTTTCTTTATTTCTGCTCCATTACATAGGGAGCTGTCAGTCAAATCTTAATCAATTTCTTCCTGGATATAACCAGCTTTGATGTTATATATGCCAAAAGTAAAAGACCCTAGTGGAGCTCAGATCCAACATCACAAAGTAGACACCTTTTACCTAAACCTGCACTAGTATTAACAAGTTTATAATCAATATATACATACCTGCAGATTAAGTAGATTCAGGCCTGCTACAGCCATACACTCTTTCTCTTGTTGCGGTGGCCAGTCACTGTGTCCGTCCATACCCTCACATACCTCTGCTAACAGCTCGTCCAGCTGTTCAAAAGTGGCCTTGCTGATGTCCACCACAAATGGCACTCTCATACCAACAGTAGAGTGACCACCATAAGACCACACGAAACTCTGAAGACAAAATTCAATATCAATAACTGACTAATGACATTACAATAAAAAACTAAACTTGCTCTGTATTCAATGTGTTACACAGTAAAACATTTGAAACAAACCAGTTTTTCTTTTTGTTTGCCTTTTCAAATCTAGATCTACAAACAATCAGAATGGCTAGGCCTATATTGTTTTCATTCTTTAATCATTCTTGTCTAAATAAAGGACATATAACATTAATTCAAAGATAAGTATTTGAATGGATGTTACCAAATAAGGTCACAATGAACCATTGCCTTGTAACACAATAATTATATTTATACTCTACTCATAACAAGAGAAAACTATAAAATGGATACTGAGTTAACTCATCTTTAAACGTTAAGAAGTAAAATTTTATTCGGTAAAAAGTGTATTACCTGTGAGGGTCCACATGCAGCTCCTATAATTTTCTTGCCGTCTAGACCAGTTAACAATGTTGGTTCTGTTCTGCACTGTATTGACATGTCCCCTAATTGACCCTGGTCATTGCGACCCCATCCATACACATCACCGTCCTCACTGACCGCCAGACAGTGCATTGAACCGACTGAAATATCCACGATTTTCTTCCCACCGAAATGTTCAATTTGTTTAGGTACACGTACATGTTCCTCCGTACCGTGTCCTAGACGATAGTTATCACCTTTACCCCTAGATAAAATAAAAACTTCATAATAATACCACACAGGCCCAACAAAAGAGCTCCCTCGATAGATATATTTGTTATTCTTTTGTCATTTTCAAGGACAACACATAATGTTAACTTGCTGTACTTTTTATATTTCATTAAAGAACCTTTTAGTTGCAACAAAAAGTTAAACAAAAAGTTAAGCAGACTGTCAGAGTTACAATATATGAGGTATATCGGAAACAAACTTAGTTTAGCATTTTCTAAGCTTTTGTCAAGATAAGACCAAAAATCAAATTCTTATCCAATTAAATTATTTTTCTACACTTGCTGACCAATCTAGCCCTAGTGTTACCTGTAGCAATGTTGCAATGACCCTAATACAGCTAAGACCTTTGCATCTTTGGTTGAGAGGCAATCAACCTTAACCATTGGAAACTATTTTCCATTTTTCAGAGTCCCTCTACACTGTATCTACATCATTCTGTGCCCTAACTTACCATGAGAAAACAGATCCAGACTTTGTCAAAGCCATACTAAACTGTGCACCACAGTACACCTTCACTACATCCTGCCCCATCAACTTCTCAATGACCTTTGGTGTTTTACACCCATCACTACCACCTCGACCAAGTTTACCATAGTCACCATCTCCCCATGAATAAACAGCACCTGTTCCAAGAATGAAATATTTCTTTATAATGATATCAGTATAATCAAGTAATACTGCTTACTGTTTTAACAGGTTTATTGTCACTATTTGTGAAGAAACCTTAAAGTAAATTTGAACCACTTCTGAGTCTGGTTCCTAGTATTTCACTACACTTGTGTAATATGATAAAACATGGTTGTGGTACCAGTAGGATTTGTAACCATGACCCTTGAGAGAAAGACAACCACAGTGTTCACAAGGCCACCATTCCCTTTTAAAAGTCAGAATTTGTATCTTTCCATTGTGAACCTTAAACAAAATTTATGTTCAAAATACTAAAACTATGCAGCTATCAGTAAAATCTGTCCTGACTGTTTACTGATAACCAAAGTTTGCAATGATAAAGTGGTGCACTCAAAATGTCCAAAGCTTTAATTTACAATGTACAACATTGTGAATTTACTTAAAACACTTTTATAACCTTACAAGTCAAATCTCTTTACATTCAAATAACACATCTTTAATCAAGAAAATTCTCATCAAACTCATTCAAAAGAATTACTAATAAATCTTTAAAAGCCATAGATTACATGATACAATTTAAATGTTAAACAAACCTGTATCTGTGACTGCAATGGTTTGAGCATCCCCACTTCCTAGCGCCACATCTATCACTTTATGTCCTTTAAGTGCGGTGACAAGATTTGGTGTGCAATGGTCCTCGCTACCACCATGACCGAGGCGCCCGTAGTTCCCTCGTCCCCAGGTGTAGAGCTCCCCACTGGCAGTGACAGCAGCACTGTATGTACTTCCACATGTGATATAGACAACCTGCTTGCCAGTCAAGGCTGTGATTAAAGTAGGCTCTTCTCTTGCACTGAAATTGTATAAAATAAATATATATTGATGATGATGTTGGATGATTATGATGATACTGACAATGAGGATGACCAAGAATGATAACGATTGATTATGATAACAATTGATAATGATAGCTGATAAAATGATGATGATGTTGATTAATGATGATGATGATAATGATGCTGTTGGATCATTATGATGATACTAGGGATGACGATTACCCAGAATGACAGAATGATAACAATTAATAATGAAAAAGATTGATTATGATAACTGATAAAATGATGATGATGAAATTGATACCTATAATAATGATGCTGTCCCATAACCTCAGCAATAATCTATAATGTACCTCCTTTATTCATTACTAAGTTACAAGACCAGGACATTAATATAATTTAACATTACGAGATTTTTAAAAAATTGTCGAGGCTTGTAAAACAAGCAAAATAGCAAAACAGAGTGCTATTAGCAATGATCACTGGTAAGTGTGTTGATTATCTTTTTATAAAACCAAAACTGATGCAACAAAACATTGTGTTTCTTATGCCTGATGGAATTGCAATGAGTTACAAATATTGTCTATGTAACAAGACAAACATACAAATTTTTAACAACATAAAAATCTTACATGTTGTCCCCATGTCCTAGCCTGCCCCCATCACCATTTCCCCACGATAAGACCTCTCCATCTTTTGTCAATGCCAGGTAATGTTTACCATCAGGGTGTGCGGCAAGCTTCACGACTTCACGGTCACCAAAACCACCTATCAGCCACATGGACTGTAAACAATACAATACGTTGTTTTATTAAGCATACAAGAACATTTTTCCATCCATCTCAAAACAATATAATAACCTATGAGAAAACATGATTTTGCTGTGTAAAGTTTATACATAATTTATTTTAGGCCGATTAAATGGGACTTTTTTTATTTCAACAAATGCATAGAAAGTATCTAAAAACGTTCATTTTACTGAAGGTGTAGGTCAAAATGATACTGTTGAGGTCATACTTTTTGGTCCTGCTTTGCTACAGGTGGTAGAATGCAGATGTTTCTATGTGCACTAAAAGCAATGTAGGTAGAACCATTAACCTTTCTCAAGTAACTGTACAGTTCAAATTAGATAATTTAACCCTTTACCACATATATACGCAAAACAACGCACTTTCCACCCCCCCCCCTTTTTTGAGGTCTCAAATAGTGAAAAAATGTCCTATTTGGGCCCCAAACATAAGTTTTGGTTTGAGAAATGTTGCTAAAAAAATTGAGCACTTTTTTGGCGCGGCCCCCATCCAAAAGATATATCAGGGGGTTGCCAGAAGGGGGATGTGCCCCCTTCTGTTAGGGGGGTTTGAAGAAAATTTGGGACTTGTGAGAGGCTAAAAATGACCTCAGGTCGATCATAATGTAACGTTTAACCAACGCTGAAAAGCCTTTGACTCTATCTCAATCCCTTGAGAAGTTGCAGCACTTTGAATAAATTTTGATGGAAAAAATCGAGGCAAAATAGTGATTTTTTGCAATTTTGAGATGTCCCCTCGTTGCCATGGTAACAGGAAATTTAATACTGAGCATGTCGTTACAAAGGCAATGGTCCAGTCAACATTTGTGCCAAGTTTGATTAGTATTGAAGCATTTTTCATAGTTTCATAGCAGTTTGAACTTGTAACAGGAGGCTTTTCAGTGAAAACGGCCATTTTACACAATATGCTCATGGGGGAAAGGGTTAAGGTCTCTTGCATAACTTGAATCTGCAACAGTGGGGAGATTGTGATTTGGACTTAACAAAACAAGAGCCGGTTGAACCGGGTGATGCTCCCCGAATAGGTTTTGGACACAGGAAGGTATACCTCTTGTTGTGTCAGAGTTATGTCACAGACAAAGTTCAAAGTGTAAAAACAACCCAAATATTGTACATGACACATTGTCTCAATATGGTGATCATTTTTGTGAAATAGTTGTAAAATCCGATTTCAAATAACAAAGTTATGCGCCTGACATTATTTTGCTGCAAGGTCATGCTGTGACCTTGACCTTCAAGGTAGTGACCCAAATAGTGCTAGCGACACGTTGATTCAATATGGTGATCATCTCTGTGAAATAGTTGTTTAATCCGACTTCCAGTAACAAAGTTATGGGCCGGACACGATTTTGCTGCTAGGTCATACATTGACCTTGACCTTCAAGGTAGCGACCCAAATGTTGCGCGCGACACAATGTGATCATTTCTGTGAAATAGTTGTAAAATCCGACTTCAAATAATGAAGTTATGTGCCGGACACAATTTTGCTGCAAGGTCATGCTGTGACCTTGACCTTCAACGTAGCGAGCCAAATGTTGCGCATGACACACCATTTTAATATGGTGATCATTTCTGTGAAATAGTTTAAAAATCTGACTTCAAATAAGGAAGTTATTGGCCGAACACGATTTTGCTGCAAGGTCATGCTGTGACCTTGACCTTCAAAGTAGCGACTTAAATGTTGTACATGACACGTCATCTTAATATGATGATCATTTCTGTGAAACACTTTTTAAATCTAACTTCAAATAGCGAAGTTATGGGCCAGACACGATTTGCTGCAAGGTCATGCTGTGACCTTGACCTTCAAGGAAGCGACCCACATGTTGCGCGCAACACATCGTCTCAATATGGTGATTCATTTTTGTGGAATATTTTTTAAATCCGACTTCAAATAAACAAAGTTATGGACCGCGACACGATTTTGCTGCAAGTCATGCTGTGACCTTGACCTTCAAGGTAGCGACCCAAATGTTGCGCGCGACACGTCGTCTCAATATGGTGATCATTTCTGTGAAAATATTTTAAAATCCGACTTCAAATAACAAAGTTATGGACCGGACACGATTTTTGGCTTGCAAGTCATGCTGTGACCTTGACCTTCAAGGTAGCGACCCAAATGTTGCGAGCGACACGACGTCTCAATATGGTGATCATTTCTGTGAAATATTTTTAAAATCCGACTTCAAATAACAAAGTTATGGACCGGACACGATTTTGCTGCAAGGTCATGCTGTGACCTTGATCTTCAAGGTAGCGACCCAAATGTTGCGCGCGACACGTCGTCTCAATATGGTGATCATTTCTGTGAAATATTTTTAAAATCAGACTTCAAATAATGAAGTTATGGACCGGACACGAATTCGGGACGTACGTACAGACGGACTGATGGACGGACGGACAACCCGACGACTATATGCTCCCCCGAAATTTTTCGGGGAGCATAATTAAAGTGGGTTGGTCTACAATGTGCACATTTCCCAGAATTATTCCAAATGAAATGTTGATAAAAATAACAGAAATAAAACAATCGGACACTCAAATTTGAAAAAATAAATTGTTGATAAGTTATAAGTGATTTACTATGAACATTTATATATGAATTATAATATTTTGTTCTAGAACATCTTATTATCTGTTATATCCGATCAAGTGTTTCACACTTACCACCAACACCCATACATAATTATTTTGTGCTTTGTTGTTGTCTGATACTTAACACTATCAACTAAATTATTTCATAAATTTACATGGAAAATCTGAAGCAGGTCAATACAATAACATGAGATCAAAATCAGCAGTGGACAAGATCCCTCTATTTTGAATATAACAAATATAACATAACTCACAGCAGCTTCAGATGTGTATGATATCAAATACACGTTTCCATTTCCTGCTAGCACAGTCATCACCCTCTCAGCGCATACAATCTGCTGAACTCCGCCCACGTCATTCAGGAAGTCTAATGTAATTGGTCCGCTTGTCATATTCCCGCCTTTCCATGCAAACCAACCCCAGGCAATTACCTCTTGCATTAAGCTTGTCTTTTGACACTAAAACAAAGCAACAAAAATCGATCAAATTTCAGCACTGAAATAAAATGAGGGTTGACCACAAAACTGCAGTAACTTTTATGAAATATAGGACTTACAACATTTTTGAGTTCAACTCTCGAAATACATATCAAAATATAATGCAATATCACAATGCAAGAAATCGTATTGCTATATTTGATATATTGCAATATATTACACCGCCCTATCCTAAACTATCATGCTGAACATTCATAGTGATAAAGACTTTTCAATGCCATGATAATTAAAACAGACTGTCCTGCCGATCAGCGCATTCTGAGCAAGGGGTTATACGGTTGGCACACAATTTTTATTGTTTTCAATTTGCTATTGGTATCCCTATCTCACAATGAATATTTTAAATTTCTCATCAATGTAAGCCAATTACAAATTCAGCAAACAAATGAAAGTTTACAATGGGACGTCCTTATATCATCAAACACTCAGCCGTACATTTTAACTCTCCCACTTTTAGCGGGAGACTCCCATTTCCTGTAGCAATATTTTTAAATTTTTCTTCAAATAATGGGTATTTTCACAAATTAGAGAAATCTCCCTATTTTTTGATGTCTGAACTTTCTTCTTTGTTTCTTGCAAATTCTAAAATCTCCCTCGTTTTTAAGTAAAATCTCCCACTTGATCATCGAAAAAAGTTCACATGTATGCTCACCTTCTGTGAAGCTGTCAGTGGTAGGTAGGGTTGACACAGTCTATCTAAATGGGACATCATTACCACTGCGCTCATACGTAAATCTACCGCCAAGCTCGCATCCTCCGGAATGTCAGGTAACGGAGAAAACATTCTGTTGGGCTCACATAGTAGTTGCTCTAAACATGCAGTGAAATGAGATTAATATCTATGTCTCGATGAAAAAAGTTTACATAAAGAATGTTTTCAATAATTACTTTTAAATATCATACAGAAAAAGTGTGTGTTTGGTAATTACAAACAGTGCAAGACTTTTTTTTCTTCAAAAGTTGATTCTAAACTTGAACAATTGGTAAAATATTCATAGAAAAATATCAAACAATAATCCATAATGAAAACATTTGTAAACAAATAATTAAATAAAAGATCAAAATATCATGACGGAAATTTCAAAAAGAAATAACTTTGTGAGTTATAGTATTATGAAGTTGCTAGCAAAATATTGAAGTGTTGACCCAAAGGTTACATCTAATATGACAGCCCTTAGTAACTTTCTTCAAACATCACAGTCATGTTTTAAAAAAAACAAAATTACTTAACCTCATCCCATTTTGCCGGCTCAATGACTCGTGATTTTGCACACTGTATGCTCTGAAATCTTTTGAGTAGTGGTATAAGCGGGGGCACTGTACAGGTTACTACTAACACGGTTATCAAAAATCGTGACGACTGTTGTTCCACAAGTTAAGGAGAAGGAGGACACTACGTAGCACATGGTCAGGTTTCCACGCTGGACAGCTAGCTCTAGGATGAGAGCCAGAGCTGTCTTGCTGGTCTTGAACAGGGACTGGCTCTTCTCCCACTTGATGCACTAGAGGAGTTCAAATCTCTGAAAAAAAATAAATACCGATTGATGAAGTTCTAAAAATTCATGAACAGTTTACTAACAGTCATTATGAGTCACACAAATGAAGTCTGTCTATAAACAGCTGTGTGGATCAAATTTTTTGCTTTAATATACCACAACACAGACAAGTGCATTTAACATCTCCTTTTCTTGATTGTGTAGTGTTATGAAGTCCCTCTACGCATAACTTTCAGCGAGGAAAAAGTGCCAACCATGTAGAACCACTAACCTAACATTTTTTTATTTTTTTTATTTTGGTAAATTTTAAGTTGCACCAATCAATGCGCCGAACATCTGTGATCACAGCACATGTCTACTTTCCAACTTTAATGGTGGAATAAAACGTAAGGTGACCTTCTGTAAATCTTTCAGGCACAAACCGGCACGTGAGAAGAAAATCATCTACGTTCCATATGCTAGAAGAATAGCTATCTCACATGTAGAATTAGACAACATTTGCACCGCTTGAACCTTCAGTGGTGAGAGGCAAGTGGTTTGAAGTCAACAACCTTAACCACTCAGCCACTGACGCCCCTACTACCAAACATAAGCTAGTTTAAATCTAAGTTGCCTCACATGAAAAAGTTCTACATCCATTGCAGAATTCAAACCCATACAGATGACTGGTAACTCACTAATTTAACCAGCAACATGAACCACTTGGCCACAGAAGCTGATCACATTTGGTAGTTTATTTAATATTTTTTAAGAACATGACACATTTTGTTTTCTTTCTGGCTGTTATCATGATTACATAATTCACCACATACTGTTTACTACTGCGGAGTTTGTTTTTTCTGTGAACAGGTTTTTTCATATTTATACAAAATTTTAGTAAAAATCTTTTTTCAAGAAGAATAACTGACAATCTTCCAATTAAATCAAATGAACATTTTGAACCAATTATAACTCAGAGCAGATATTTTTGCAAACAGCTTTTCAAATATTGAAAACAAAAAAAACTCTGATCATTCAAGGCAAAGGGTTTTCTACATGTGGCTTAAACTTATATTAAGTAATTTATACAGTGGAGCCTTGCTAATCCGAACCCTTCTAATCCGGAATCCTTTCTTATCCGAACAAAGTGTCTAGTCCCGATTTTATTCGTTGTATTTTCAATAGTAAAAAACCTTTCGGATCTGGAACCTGTCTAACTCTGAATTTCGGACTATTTTGTCAATTTTTGTTCTTATTTAATTCTAAAATGAACCTCTCGGATCCAAACAGATTTTGCAAAATGTCACAACTACATTCAAAATAACAAATTGTTGCACATCTTGCAAGTGTAAACATACACCAAATTAACAAGAGTAATAATATTTCTCTTGATAAAAGGGTGAAACGTATGATCTGCGAAGGTGTGGAAGTTACGGGTAGCTTGCCTTCATATCTTCTATAATTGCTTAATTGATTGTTTTTCGTCACGTTCTATAAACATTTTGATATAATGCAATAGAAATATCTTTTAATCTTTTGTAATAAATTTAATGACATGTGATTAAATAACGGAAATTAATGGAAAATGTCAGTGAATTTGGATAATCGCTGAATCGGATAAGAGTAAACAACAATTGACAAATGCTGGTAGGAATATTTTAAATCATGTCTCAAACTCCAGTTTAACATGGTAGGTTAACTTACCCTTGAGGACATAACATTTTGCTTATTTATTTATTTTTTTGTAATTTTTGTATTCACATGTATTAAAATGAACGATAAGAGATGGCAAAAATACAATATTTATATTGCAATTTCAAAATGCATTCTTGTTTTCTTTCATTAAACTTTTCTGCCAATAACATGAACAAACATGTAAAAAACCTTCTAATCCTGAAACCTTTCAAATCCGAACTTTTCTTCTGGTCTGGACGAGTTCGGATAAGACAGGTTCCACTGTAGTTTAAGAGAAATCATACTAATTCATTGAAAAATCAGTGATCAGGCATGCTCAAACATATAGAACTCAGAATTCTAAGCGCCTTGAATCAACTTATATATATTGATCTAGTATTATATATATCTACTAAATTAATCATATATCGAATACTTCACATAAGCTGACTTGAAACAAGAAAGTTTAGTTAGATTCGAAGTATTAAAATAACGCGTGTTATGATCACAATAATTGAATATCTGCTTTTGAGTTATGATAGTTTAGCGTATCAAATCTCTCTTCATTTAGGTTAATGAAATGATGGATGCAGTTACTCTCTATATAATAAGGACTTAATACCTAACCCTTGTACAATATGATAATGCATAACAACATGCTTATATCACACTCCAAAACAAAATCATACCCCATTAATAATATCTAAGTGATATGAGAGTGAAAGACCACTTGTATAATATATATATCTAATAAGCTATTATAACCCACAAAGAGAGAATAGAACATAATATTCGAGGCTATTATGAAGATAAGATAATAAATTAAAAGCTGTACTAACTTAAGGATAGACTCCTAGCTGGCTTTGTGAGACAATGCATGTGTTTACTTTTATGTTGCCACGTTAACTTAAAAGACAACACAATTATAATGGACTTGTACCCAAGTTACATATACTACAGAATAATGGTATAGTTACATAAGAACCAGCCTTAATTAGTTATAGCATTTTCAGATTCATGAGAGTTACACGTATTTTTCTTACTTAACAGCCGTTAAGATGTCAGAATTACAGTTGCTTAAGATAGTATATATGACGCCATTTTCAAGTGGGCAAGTTCCGAGTGTTGCATTATACAAAGAGTGACTTGAAGTAATTAATGATTGAAAACATAATCATAAATCATACTCTTCTCTCAAATCCTACTTAGTTTTATGTACCCGAGTCCCAATGTTAATATAATACAAAGAACCAACTTGTTTGGATATATCTCATCTGATCTTAATAATTTTTAATATTTTTTCACTATTCAGGTACAATTAGAATGGGTGATATAGGAACGTAATATCAAGTGGATCCAGACTACACTTTCAGATAGAGATAATGTATTTTGTGAATGATATTGAAATGAATTGTTTCTTACTGAACCACCACAAATGAACAAGAAGATAGGTCAGCAGCTATTAGCTTGCGGTCTTGGATATAGTTGATAACAGATAGGACCTTAGGTCATTCCTCACCACCAATCTTAATGTTTGTGCTTAAGTATTACAATATGCCTAAAAGCAAAACGATTGCCTTGAGGATCTAACTGAAAGCATGTTTTACTTCAATCACCCCACACTCTCCTCTTCCCTACGCTTGCATCAAATCACCGCATCCCACCCACCTCTCTATATCACCAAAAAAACTAGTATATACCAGTGACTTCCCCTAGAGCTATGGATATTTATCTGCAAAATATGGCAATAATGAGTTAACACAACATCTTCTGCAAAATATAATATATATGCTTTTAAATTCCTCCCAATTTTATCAATCTCCTTAACACCTTCAAGCATTTCCAAACTTTGTTGTTTGAAAGTAGAAGCCAGGTTTGACCCTCATAGATCCATTAACATTGCATGAAACCACACCCTTAACACATGCAGCATGATCACAATCATTGCCAAGAGTACTATTACAATGTCATACCTATTCTAAAGCCTAATGCAAAGTAACAGCTTATTGACCATGATTTTGGAAACTGGCTAAGTTAATGGATGCACCCTTAGGACAGTATTGACAAGTGGAGTTATTTCCAGAAACCTACCATATGTCATTGATGGAGAATTATTTGATCTTATCACACCAATATTTTAGACCATTGACGAACTGAAGCATGGACTGTAAAATCAAAGATAAAATATACTGCGAATCTTAAATCACAAAGCAATGCGAAATAATAATGATGTGTCTTTTGATGAAAAAGTCTGACGAAAGAGTGACAAAGTATGTTTGATTACCACCCCTGGAGTTCCTGTCTGATACTGTTCAAGCATACACAAGTCCCGTGCCCAGGAAGTTTAGTTGAAAAATCTTTTGTTTATCCGGACAGACTATTGCAAGAAGAGATAAATATAACTACCTTCACGCAAGTCAAAAATAAGAAATCACCCATTGCGCACAAACTCGATAATTGGTCCAAACAACCATATCATTAGGAAAAATAGTAATGTCCCAATTAAACTTCTCTGAAAGGCGTAGAAGGCAAAGTATGCACACCGCCTTTTTTAAATTATGAGGTCAAAAGACAAGAGTCACAATAAAGGACAAAGAGGGTGCTTATTCCACTTAAAACTTGAAAAGCCAAGTTTATGTAACTCAAACTTTAACATTACCATACCCACAGGTTTGACTAGGGGATGTGTTAGACAATGAGTTTGGTATTTTAAACTAGAAATGCCCCTATAATATGACCTAAATAGGGCTAACCGTAGTCAAGCAGAAGGTTACCAAGATAAAATATACGCTATTGGATAACATTTATGCGACAAGTTTTCCGAGTGCGAGCAAGATCTAATAAGTTATAACCACAAACGTTAGACCTATGAGCGATCATTTAAATCTCATAGTTAGTTCATTGATCTATAAATTATTGATTAGCGTAAAAGCAAACTAATTGAATATTCAAGCGCTGAACAGTTTTCCTAAAATGAACTAAAGTCATGTCCGAAACCTCCACTGCTGATAATTATGTAACAATAGAGGAGAAAGCAAAGTTAGCTTCTGCATGCGCTAATCAAAATATTCATAGTTACCCAATTCTGCTACTCGCAATCAGATGTTCATGCTATACCTAAGGTGATTATACTTGCTTCTTCCAGATTATCCAACAATGTATAAAACAAGTTTCCAATAAATTAATGTGGCTAACATATACAAAACCACACCTGCCTAAGGAAGAATATTCTGTTATGAGAAGTAACAAATATCTCGGTCTATCTCTATTCCATCACCTTAAAAACTGAGAGCAAACTCAGTGGATGAGCGTGAGAAAGACTCTATACTTTAAGTCCATTTCAACCCACAAAATGTTACTTCATAAGAATG